CGTACACTGATTGTTCAAGCACTGTATGAATCGCTAACGCATACGAAATTTGGCTGCGCGGCACCTCTTGGCCACGGAATATCCCTTGCTCAAATGATATGCAAAATCATTGGTCCCAAATCCCTGGCCTCGTTCCAGCCATCTCTTTCCAAGTCCACATATATGCACACACATATGTATTGATATATATATATATATGTATACATATATATATATATATATGTAGAGAGACAGAGAATAGTTTAAAATCTCCAAAAAAAATAAATGGTAAGCAACCAACAAAAAGGTTTGGTCTTTTCTCCAAGCGACGAGAAAAGGCCCCGCTCCCATGATGTGCCCCCCAATGAGGTCCTCCAAGTTATGCATCACGCTAGCCTCACGTCGACAACATATGTGGGATTCGTGGGTAAACATGTGCCACCCTCAGTACAGGTCTCCTGAGGGCTGGGCTCCCCATCATGGTTCCTTTACCTGTTTATACCCCACTCACTTTATATTGATATATCTATATCAATGTAGAAAATATGATGTGTATCTAATGTATAGATATTATATATCTAATATATAGATATATTGTATTATGTATATAGATATGGATATATATATATATGTGCATTTATCGAAAAGCAAGCTCAAAGCCCCACTGTTGCTCAATATCTACGGCCACCCCACCTTTCGGAGACAATACCTGGGGGAGCCAGACCAACTAATGGGGGAGTGACTCTTCAAGGCAACAAACGTCGGGCGATGAAAATCACGAAAACTTGAATATATATCTGACGTTAATGATATAATGCAAGATAGAGATATACTGTAATATATAGATATATCTGATAACATTGTTAATGATATACTGTAGGATAGAGATCTTTCAACATTAGTGATAATCATGAAAGAGATCTGATGCAACATGATGTGCTGTAATGATAGAATGAAGAAAATCGATGAAAATCGAGGATAGAATCAACAAACAAGTATTTTGGTTTCTGGAAATCCGAAGTTTTGTCTAAGGAGAAGGAGGTCACGATGTCCATCCTGTTTGGGGGGGCCTTTTCATTCTCGTTCCTATCCCAAGGTCCTTCGCCCTCACGGGTATTGCTGTTACAAACCACCACTTGACATGCTGAAGTCCTAGCTCCCCCAAGGCCTAGCGGGCCTCTCCTTCAAAGGCCACAAGGTGGTAATCACTAGGTACAACTCCTTTTTTCGTTTCGTGATGCGAAACTCAACGTTTTCCAACCTCAACTGGACAGGTTTTTTCGAAGCCAAGATGCTCCACCACCTCTGCGAAGAGAAATGCAAAGATGCTCAAACTCACTTCGTTCCTGCTGGGGCCAAAGATTCCCTCACAAATCTAGGATTGCTAGCGATATAGTGCAGTAACTTCATGCAAAAAATGGGGAGAGTGGTCGGTAGCTTTTTTTGGGTCAAAACCAGCTGGTCGGTGTGGTTTCAAACCATCCCCAATAGATATAGTCTGATATAGTCAATTCCGGTTCATTATACCCGATGTGACAGGAATCACGAGGATGTGTATCTCATGCTCATAACCGCATGAATGTTGGATGCACATGGATGTGGGTGTGGCCAAAAATGATATCCTCAAACCTATGCATGGTCGAACCAAAAACAATTCAATAAGGAAATTTCAGTGTCCAATCAATGGACATACCCACATCTTTACTAAGAATGCGGAAACCTCGGGCAAATGCAGCACTTGAGCTGGCATGTGGTTTCCTTTGTCTAAATACCCATTCAAGTTCAAATATGTGTGTCAAACCAAGCCTTCCGTGACAACGGGAGAACCCTCTAATTATCAATTGGCAAATTTCAGATTTGGATATGGCTCAAAAAATTGGGCAATTACCGCTTGTCATTTCACATTTGGCCATGTTCGTACAAAGAGACCCAAAGTAAAAGGGAAAATCCAAGCTGATCTTGAGCCATACCCAGTTACTTTCCAATGTCCAGGCTGTTCGAACTACTTCCAAATAACAGCCCAAGAAGGGACCCAAAGTGGAGCCAATGCGCGCCAATGCGCACGCTTTCGAAGGTACTGGATATTTGGAGATATCGCCCTTTTTGGAATGTCATCTTTTCATGCCGAAATCGGCGCGAAAATCACTTGAACTAATATACTTATTCTATTGTTTTTTCCGGTATATGTTTCCGTACGTTCTTCCAAATCTGCGTATTTCTTGGAGCAAAAAACGTCAGCCTGGTCTTCTGTAAGGGCCGGTCGTAGTTGTTGAGCGGCCTCGGCCGCCTCCCGAGATTGGGTATCCCCACATGATGGGTCAAGTGACCTATGAAATGACCATATTTTGGAGAATTATCATCCATTGATTCACCAGCTATAGCAGCTATAGGCTACCAGATGGTACCAGATGTACCAGGCTTTTGACATCTTTTGACCCTGGAACCCACATGTTGATTTTTCGCTGAAACTGTGCAAAAATCATGCGAGAAAAGCCTGGTGAAGTTATGATGCATCCAGGTCATCCCAACATTCAGATTCAGTCGTGGATTTCTGGGAAAAATGTGCAGATCTGCAGCAAATCCGCAAGGGGTTACAGGGCTGCACAAAAAAACACCTTGGGGATGGTGACTATGCAGTTGTCATGGAGGTTACCCACCAGTAAGCTAAATTTGCAAACCCAGCATGTAACCAACATGAAACCTGCATGGAAGCTCCATGGAAAATCCATGAAACCTGCATCAGTCAGAGTACAGGATAGGACCACACGGTTTCAAGAAACTGTCTTTCCCCCATTTCAAAAATAGATAGACAAGTACAGAAAAATGCACTAGAATTCAATAATCAATTAAACAATCACGTGAAATTATTGGACATTAAATAAGTGTACATTTTCCGAGATACAAGATGAATATCAATTCAAAAACAAACCTAATCTGGTAGCAATTATTGTTGTTTTAAATTTGTTTTCTTTATTTTCAACGACTTCATTGTTTGCAGGGTTTGATATTTTTTGTTTTTTCTAAGTTTACAAAACCATCAATTCCCAGACTTCCAAACCACCAACCCAAACCACCACGTAAGCACAAGTTGATGTTCATTCCCATTGCTATCTGTGATGATCCTGAATAGACCTAAGATACAAACAGTTTTGGGATGGGTTGAAACCACACACCAGGGTACGATTTATGAGCCACGGTCTTTTTTGGTGGACTTTCTGAACTTTCTGCTTTTGGTGTCAATATGTTCGATTATTTGGAGCCTTACGTGAAACGGTGTCAGTTGGGAGCAACACTAGTAGAAATATAAGCGACTCATGATCCGGGAAGATTTTTTCTGGTTTGAACGCTAGTTATTTCTGTCCGATTTGGAAGATGATTTGCAACTATCATCACTGATGTTTTCCAAGTCGTGCGTTTCTCTGGGCACTAGCTATGAGTCCTAGAGATGCTGGATAGGTTTAGAAATCAGGCTGCCCTAGACCTAAAACAATGGACACATAATTCTTGGTGGATGGGGGTACATAATTCTTGAACAATCCCACATGGTTCTCCCAATATCAAAGGAAGGGTCCGGGAACGTAGGTACAATCTATCTTTTCTAAAAGCCTGCGAGGTTTCATCCAACTTGGTTGCATCCATCACTCTAAAAATTGTTCTCCATCATTGGTTGTACCCTCTGGTAAACATACAAAAAAACTATGGAACATCACCATTTTCAATGGGTAAATCCACTATAAATGGCCATTTTCAATAGCTATGTTAGTCATTACCAGAGGGTATCCTGCCCAGTCTATTCGCCTCAAATCAAAGTTCCATCCTCCAAGGGCCAGGACTTGAAGATGCATGGAGGGTAACTCGGAGGATTTGGACTGGGAAGATCAGGACATGTGTTTTTTTTCTCTTGAAACTCAGCGTTCGACCATCATGGAAAGGAGCATGACTTAGCCAACAGAAACACAAATTCAGGATTGATACAAGTAGCTGAAACCGGGAGGGATCTGATTTAATGTGATTTACTAATCAGGGCATGGTTCAGGACTTCCAATCAGTTGGGTTGCGGTGGGATGTTCGATGCCCACTAGATCCCTGTTTATAGTTATACCAGGCTTCATACCAGCCGGTGGGAATCCTTATTGCAAAACCCAGACCCAATCCGCAAAAAGGTCTTGAACCATGCTGATTTGGGATTACAATCGCACATAGTCTTTCTGTTTCTTTTTTTGTTCACATTTTGCCAGAAAAAGCCTGTGGACCATGGGTATAGACCATCAAAAGAAAAGGGTAGGGCCTGGTAGGGGAAAAGTTAGAAAACCATACATCCACAGTGTTTCGGTTGCATGCAACCATTCAACTTTGGGCAACAGAAACATTTTAGAGCTTCACCCAGTAGTCCACGCAGAATTGCGCGACTTTTTTTCTTGCCGCATATGTGCTTTTCCACTGATTTTTCCAATGGTTTTCCTACAGAACGTTCCCATTTCTCCATGAGGCTGTGTCCCAGTGGATGGCATCCAGTGGACGAAGCATTTCAGGCGAATTTCTCGAAACTTATCGTCCTTAAGAAAGGCGAGGAACAACAAAGGATAGGTCAAAAATCCAGCAAAAAATGGTGATTTCATGGTGATTCCATGGGTATTTAGATATGGTGATTTAATGGAAATTAATGGGATAAACATGGTGATTTAATGGGACTTAATGGGATTTAGATAGCTAAATTGAGGTAGAAAACTATCCGGAAAAACTAAGGTAGAACAGGCATCTAGCCAACATGAAATACACCATGAATCCTGCAGGCTGTACCACCTGGGATGAATGGGGCATTGATGCTTGGCAGACGATACTGAAGATCCTGGAAAGCGGTAGATGGGTCGCAGCATGTCCCATCGATTAATGATTAATGCACGTTACAGTGGCAAACCATCCCTCTTTTGAGGGCAGGTTTTGTCTTGACCCAAATTCCTCGGATTCCTATGTCTTGAGGCAACCTTGGATCCTTTCAACCAATGGTGCCGACTCAGGAGATGTGTGCATATCTTTGTGCTCCAGAAAGACTGCATCTGCCCTACACACCCTTGAGCACTGTATGTCAGGCCAACTGTGTCAGCTTGCCAGGATGATGATGATGATGATGATGACGATGATGACGATGATGACGATGATGACGATGATGATGATGATGATGATGATGTTGCCGTTGCCGTTGCCGTTGTTGCTGCTTGTTGCTGTTGCTGTTGCTGGTTGCTGTTGCTGTTGCTGTTGCTGTGGTTGTTGTTGATGATGATGATGCTGCTGCTGATGATGATGATGTTGTTCACCATGCTGGCAGATGCACCCTCAAGGATCCCAAATTCCAACGTTTTGGCCCAAATCTTTTGGAGTTGGACAGAGCTGAGACTAATTTGCATCGATTTGAACCAGGATCATTCCGCAACTGTGGGGACAGTGTTATCACCAGATCCGGTGCAGTTCCACTGTGCAAGGTGCGCAACAAATTCCACTTCCGCGAGGCCTGCCGACAGGCACGCAAATTCTCGAAACCTGCGCTGGCATCATGTCGATTGGGAAACTCTTTGCCATTTGCAGACTTCTCCTGATGTTTCTAGGATTGTATTGGTCATTATGATTCATTATGTACATGCCCCCCTTTTTGAACTTAAACCCTGGTTGATCAATTCTGGAGCTCCCGGAAAGGTGAGAAGCACCTAGGAGTTGATATTCATCCTCGTTCTCAGGCGGCTTTGCCCAGTTGCCGCTGCGCCAATGTCCACCGGAAGGAGAGGAGTTTGCCAACCTGGTGGAAGGTTTTCTCAAGGTTTCGGGGGATGGCACCCAGAGAAGTGGATGCATAGCCAATATACCCTCTGGTAAAGGTTTACATAACTATGGAAAATCACCATGTTCAATGGGTAAATCCACTATAAATGGCCATTTTCAATAGCTATGTTAAATTCCCAGAGGGTATATCAATATATAAAGAATGGGATTTGGTAAAAAGTTGGGGATGAAATATCCGCTACAATAGTTGATTTGGCAAGGCTCTACTGCCAGGGATCGTTTTAATCCGCGAGAGGAATCCCAAATTGAGTAGGGGAAGATCTGCTGTTCGATCAGAGGTGTTGGGACCTTCAAAGTCTCTACTGGTCCACCATCCATTCGTCCACCACCCAGGAATCCATTCCTATGGCTCTGGAATTCTATCTTGTACACTTGGCATTTTTGATGGGTTTTGCTTGTTTCAAAGTCCCAAAAGTTGGAGAAGATTTCCTCCAACGACAGAATAGTTATCAGCTATGGCAGGATGAGCTTCTCGTGGCTTTGGAGAAGGAGTGGAAATATCCCTTGATCTTGAAACCTGCACAAGGCCAGAGGGGTCGCGACTCGGGGGACAGCCTGTAGTTCGAGGCTGCTCCAGATCCGTTCCGAAGCAAGGGCACAAGAGGCTAAACCGCATTCTGGAGGGAAATCTGTGGTAATTGTGGTCAACCCAACAATAAACATCAATAAACCATCCCCAAAATCACCATGAAGTCGTATAAACAAACCATCTGCAAATGGTAGGTTTCTGGCGGTAAACCCCACATATGCAGCGGACTGCGCTCCGCGAGCTGCTCCGCGAGGTACAGGGAGTTACTACTGCCGAAAAGTGGAGTCCAAAGACGAGCTCCTGGAGATTTTCGATGCCTTGGATGTCGCCTAGCCTTGTGGAGCTGAGTTGTAGCGATGGATAAATACAAGATATATATATGTACAATATATATGTACAATATATATGTACAATATATAATATATAATATATAGATATTTAATATATAGATATGTAGATATTATACATATATATTTATCCTAGTGTTGTCCAGCGTAACGTAGCCTGTGTAGTGTAGTGCAGACATTAACGATTCTATATCGAATATGCGTTTAGTTTTGGCTCAGGGAGCAACCACGCTCCAGCCATTACCCCCTCGGTCACGATGCGGTGGCTGGGGGGAGAAAATGACCGTGAAGCCTGGTTTAAATTTGGCTTCAAGGAAGGACAGCTTTTGGAATGTGCTGTCAGAGATGACGCAGGTCATACTCAAGGCACGATAGTGGTGAAGGTGCTGGAGAAGAGGGCCACGGGACCGGCAGGACACTTCGTAGACTGTCAGTACCTGTGCGCCTCTGACTCCCACTATCGTTGGTGGGCTACTGAAGGACCAGGGCGTTCCCTGAGAAAGAAGGCGACCTACCACTTCTGCGACGGCAATTCCCATGAGTGTCAAGAGAAGTTGGGGAGGCAGAAGTTGATCTATGTGGAGACCTTTCGTCTTCTGACGGATGAGGTCAATCAGAGCAAGTCGCCGGGCTGGCTTTTCACCAGACCATGCTTTGCCATCATGGGACCCCACCTGAAGGATCTCACCAAGGAAGAAACACCAGGTGAGGGGGATGGTTTACCCTGGGTTGACCAGGAGGAAAAAGACTCATCTGATGGGTCAGACTCCTCTGAGGATGAAGGTCGTGAGGACATGCGCAAACAGATCAGTAGATTGAAGAGGGAGCTAGCAGCAGCTGAGGAGAACTATCAGAAGAAGGGAGACCAGCGCAAGAGGCCTGCATCGGGCGACAAAAAGAAGAAGAAGAAGAAGGATAAAAAGAGGCGCCATGAGAACGTGGAGACGAGAAAAAGAAGGCCAAGAAAAAGAAAAAGCGAGATGATTCTGGACCTGGCTCAGCTAGAGGGAAGAGGAAGGCTGATCGCAGTCGGAAGAGGAGTCGCAGTCGCAAGAGGCGGCGTTCAAGTTCAGCTGACTCCCCAAAGAAGGAGAGGCTGTTTGGAGGTGGCAAGTCCAGCAGCGAGGACTCCAGCTCACCAGGACGCAAGGGTGACAGGGGACCTTTTGGGGCTGCTGAGAAGGAGCGCTTTGATGACAGAAGGCGCGAAGACTCTTCGGATGAAGGATCAGTTTTTCGGGAGGCCTCCACCCAGGGAGCGGCGACGAACCAGTTGAAGCTGACCGAGTACAGCCAGAGGTACCCGGGTCGACTGGCCGCCAAGTTGCTTCTTCGGATGCAACGAGAGTCGTCGTTGTCCTCGGTGGGGGCCACCCTGTACGCCCGCAGCAGCTCTGCATTACTTGCAGACAATGATGCTGCCAACTCTGGGGCAGAAGGTGAACGTGAGAGCGGGGCGCGAACTGCGCACGCTTTGCACGGTGTTGGACTTGATGGCACAAGAAAAGATGCCTCAAGCGGCAGACATCGTAGCCCAACGGGTAAAAGCCCTAGAAAGAGCCTGCAGCGAAGGCCACAGGGGAGCAGCTCAATTCTTGGAGCTCATCGGGGGGAGCAACAGGGTCTCCTCGATCGAGCAGAGCAGTATTACTTGAGCAAGGAGTTCCTGCTGGAGCAGAAGCTGAAAGGGTTAGAACGGAGCAATCCCCGGCAGGGGAAAGGCGATCAGAAGGGCTTCAAGGGAAGAGGAGGCAAAGGAGATCGCGAGAAGGGAGCCTCAGCCGGAAAAGGAAAGGACAAAGTGGACACCACTGGGAAGTGAGCGCAGGACCGGAGAATTCCGAGATTGATGTTGAGGAGGCACGCAGAACATGGCGTGGCACTTGGGGGAAGTTTATGGAGAAGGAGAGACCGGCCTTGGAAGTACTGTCAGTTTTATTTCAGAGACTGCACCTGCTGGAGAGTCCCTTGGGAAAACTGGCAAAAGCTTTTAAGCAGAAGGACATGCCTCCCAGGGCAGATTGCCCTAAGACCCGTGGAGATGATCTCCTTCCCATGGACCTCACAGCAGTGCAGGAGTATCTGACTGACCTTCTGGTTGAGGAAGTCGAGGCCATCATGCTGGTAGTGCTAGGGCTGAACTACATGTGGCTCGGAGGGCGCGATAGTGAGCGCTATCGGCCTGAGAGGGACCGCCTTACCAAAGCTCAGCGACAGGCGGTGAGTCACCTGGCCGAGAGAGTCAGAGATCTGGGCAGTGTTGACAAGAGATGCCCAGACATGTTGACTGGGCGGTCACAGCTGGTTGAGGCCAAATTTGACTATGGCGGTGAGCCCATCATGTCATTAGAAGAACTCAAGGCTGAACAGGTGATCCCAGTATGGCCGGCAGTCGGAGAAGCCGCCGTTCAGCATGTCACAGCTTACCTCCCAGATGATCTGAGGGAGAGAATAGAGAACCCTGAAAGCTGCCTGCTTCCAAAGGAGGACTGGCCACACAAGCCACCAAAGAGCCCAGCCAGGGCTACGCAGGATGAGTGGAATGTCATAGTCAAAGCAGCGGCAGCAAGGGGACTTATGGTTCCGGTTGAGGAGCAGGATGTATTCCGCGACCACAACGGGACCATGGTGCTCAATGGGGCCGCCGGGGTCAAGAAGTTGAAAAAGATTGGAGGTGAGATGCGCTCAATGCAGCGGTTCATCTCGAACTTCATTCCCATCAACTCCTACCAGAAGCACCTCGAAGGCGGAGACAAGCACCTGCCTTACCTGGGGCAGCTGACGCTCTTGAACCAGGACGAAGATGATGTTTGGGTGGTGGATTCAGAGGATTTTGTCTCCTGCTTCAGAACCTGTGGAAGCTGCCGGAGAGGTGGTTTGGGTACACCTGTTTTGGGAAGACAGTGGATGCCAAACTTTTTGGCGGAGTACCCGGCAAGCAGGTTTACCCTGCCATGGCAGTAGTGCCAATGGGTTGGATCAATGCTGTGTCAGTGATCCAGGCAGTGGTTCGGACCTTGGTGTTCTCGGAATCAGAAATACCTGATGAATCAGAGATTTCGAAGTTGAAGCGCCTCCCGGAAACAGATGACCTGTCGGTTATCTATCTGGACTCCTATGACGAGCTGAGGCGTCTTGACCGGCAGTGCGCCGAGGTCCTCCAAGGAGTCGCATCACCGCGGCACAAGAGATTCCTAAAGGTTTGCCAAGAAAAAGGACTACCTCTTAATGAGGGAAAGCGTCTGGTAGCAGCAACGAAGGGGACCCTCCAAGGAGGAGAATTGCAGGGAAAAGAGGGCTGGTACAAGCTCGCGGGCGACAAGCAGATCAATTTGGTTGGCCTGGGGAGCTGCCTGCTTGGGTTGCCAGAATGGAGAGAATTTGATGTTCGTCACTTCTTTGGGAAGGCTGTTTTTGGAATGTGCTTTCGAAGGGTGCTCCTCTCCGTGTTACAGGATGGTTTCCATTTTCTGGGTGATGTGCTCCAGGCCAAGAAGGCGCTATGCCCTACTCCAGGCGCCATGGACGAGGTCATCGTGACAATGGCGTTCACTGCGCTTATGGGAACGTCCCTCAAGAGCGAACTGGAAAAGTTCATCTACTGTTCAGATGCTTCACCCTCAGGAGGAGGCGTTGCAGTGTCCAGCCAATTCATGGAGGAGCCCTGGACTGAAAGACACGAAGGAAAAGAATGTTGGGTGTGTCAGGGACCCTTTGATCCTGGGTTTGAATTTGCATGCCCAGCACTATGCCAGGTTGCACTGTGTTCACTTCAGTGTCTCATGGATCACCGCAACGGGCAGTGCCCTCCCGCCAAGGTTTGCAAGAGGCGTCACTTGGAGTTACCTCGCTTTGGCGAGAGATTAGCTCGCCTCACAGAAGCAGTAGCCATGGCGGGAACCATCGATGTCCAGGAGCCCTATGACTGGCATTGGGGCCACGATTTCTTTACCCAGGAAGGGAAGGACCGCCTGGAGGAATTGATGACGGACCCATTGTTGGCCGCGGAGCATTGGGCCCCTTGCTGTAAACTTTTCAGCAAGGCCAGAGGGAGACCCATTAGATTGGAGGATGGGACAGTGATCCCGGGTCCACAACCCGTGAGAGACCATCGCCACCTCATGGGGTTCAACAATGTGCCAGTTGGTATGAAGGTGCGGCTCAGGCACTCCAACCAGATGGCGTTGAAAAGCCTAAAGGCCTTGGAGGACGCACCACGCTCAACCCTCTATGAGAGCCTTGAACATCCTCACGGGAGTTGGCTGTGGGAATCTACGCTCGCAAAGAAGTTGCTCGAAGCAGGTTACCTGCAGTCCACGGGCTCCCACTGTTGCTTCGGAGGCCCAAGAGAGAAATGGTTTGAGTTCCGCAACAATATCCCAGGGGTCCATCGGCACATCAATCGGACCTGACCAGGGCACGAGGGTTTGAAGCCGTGCAAGGTGACCAGAGACGAGGATGGGTACCTGGTGTACGACACAGCAGAGGAAGAGCAATACCCTTGGGCCTTGTGCAGGGCATATGCAAAGGGCCTCAAAGAGCAGCTGATGGAAGATGGCCATTTTGGCCGAGTGTTTCACAAACACCGAGTTCGGTGGTATGCAGAGGAGCTGAAGCAGAGCACTGAAAGACTTGGAGAACCGCTAGTTAATCTTGCGGCAGCCGAAGAGTTGGCGCGGTGGGAGAACAGCTTGAAACAGGGGGAAGAGGAACTGCACCTCCGCAAGCTGTTGACAATGGCCTCTTACCGCGGTACTGACATCCGCGCGTATGTAACCGTGGAGGATGAGGATGCTACCCGGCATGAAATCCCTTACCCAGCCTTGTGCTGGAGATGGAAAACGCTGATGGCGTTTGCATGGGATCGCGAAGCTCACATCAACGAATTGGAGCTCGCCACTGTGGCAGCCCTCATCAAGCATCGAGGACGCAGCAGTGCCCACTTCCGCCGGCGCTGGATTCTTATCGTTGACTCCATGGTCACGCGAGGTGCTCTCGCCAAGGGACGTTCCCCTTCACGCCGATTGAATCGGTTGCTCCGGCGATCAGCAGCAGCTCTCCTGGCGACAGATTCTTATCTGTTTCCCCTCTGGACCATCTCAAGATGGAACTTCTCAGATGGGGCGCCAAGGCGATTTGAAAAGTAAAAAGAGTCTGCGCTACGCAGGGCTGCATGCTTCAACGCTGAGAGCTTATCAGAGAGCACTTAAAGGCTTCCTAACCTATGCCAACAAATCTTCGGTCAGACTGTTTCGCTCCTCTCAATTGGATGAATGTGTCAGTGCTTACTTGGACCACTGTTTCCAGGAAGGCGAACCTTTGAGCTATGCAGGGCACTTGCTGTCAGCCCTCAAGCGGTTTCACCCTTATCTCAAATTCAAGTTGCCCGAGTCTTCACAATTCTACAAGAATTGGACAAAGACTTATCACCCCACGAGGGCCATACCGGCCTCCTGGGAGTTAACTGAGGCGTTGATGGGCTACGCCTTATGTCATCACCAGGAAGAACTGGGGTTGCTCATTGGTCTCGCTCGGATTCATTGGGATGCTGCGCGCAGCAGAAATGCTGGCCCTGACGTTCCAGCATCTAGTCATCCACCGAGACCATCACTCCGTGAGCATGGTTATCCCCACTTCCAAGACATCGTCGGGTAACCCGCAAGTTATCCAGGTTTCGGACCACCAAATGGTGAGAATGATTCTTCGCTTGCGTGGCAAGCGTCACAAGCGCCTCCTGTGGGCGAAGTCTAATCAGGCATTCCGCAACGCCTTTGATAGGCTGGTGATGGGACTTGGCTTTCATAGCCGAACCTATGTCCCTTATGCTTTGCGCCGGGGAGGTGCAACTTATCATTTTCAAACGTACCGAAATCTGGACCTCACTGTCCAACAGGGACGGTGGGCGTGCCCCAAGACTGCCCGGCAGTATCTTGACAGCGGTACCTGTCAGCTGGCACACGTGCATTGGTCACGTACTCAAGCTAAGCGTGTCCTTAAGTACAGACTTAAGGGACGTGATTGGCGGCTGCGCCAGAAAAATGGGAAACTGGAGCACTGAATTGGTGGACCCTTATCGAGGGGAATTTTGCTTTCTTGTTTGGACCCTTATCGAGGGGAAATTTTTCATGTTTGGACCCTTATCGAGGTGTTTAATTTCCTTTGGACCCTAATCGAGGAGTTGCCTTGGCAAGGTAGTTTCCCTGGTTAACGGGTTGGAGGCTTTTGTTTTCCCTTAGAATTACCTTCCTTTCTTACCAACCAAGGGTTGAGATGCATGTGGGCCATGGCCCTTGTAAATCTAGGTGTTTAATTAGGTTCTAGTGATTTCTAGAGGTTTTGTGTACCTTAGTATGTACAAAGCCTCTTCAGTAGCAACCACGAGGCGTGTCCTGAAAAAGGATCCATGCGTTGGTTGAGATATTTATCCTAGTGTTGTCCAGCGTAACGTAGCCTGTGTAGTGTAGTGCAGACATTAACGATTCTATATCGAATATGCGTTTAGTTTTGGCTCACCCACCAGCCGCCCCTTCACCACCTGCTGGTGCATTTGACTTTGGGCGTGGGTTGGAGGCTTTTGTTTTCCCTTAGAATTACCTTCCTTTCTTACCAACTAAGGGTTGAGATGCATGTGGGCCATGGCCCTTGTAAATCTAGGTGTTTAATTAGGTTCTAGTGATTTCTAGAGGTTTTGTGTACCTTAGTATGTACAAAGCCTCTTCAGTAGCAACCACGAGGCGTGTCCTGAAAAAGGATCCATGCGTTGGTTGATATATATATATATGCACCGAATAAAAATGATAGACATACGTATATGAATTGATGAATCGATAGATCGGTCGATCAGATTGGATTGGATTGAACTAGATTAGATAAGACAATATTTTCATCGATAGAGAAATTGGTAGAGACAAATTTCGGTCTTTCGGCAAATGAGGCAGGTATTCTTGGGGGAAGCCTATAGTTCAATGGGAATTCCAGGATCCTAAAATGGAGGTACTGTACCATATAAGGCCATATTTTAGGGTGATATCCCCTTACATAGCCCTTATATAGGCCTTATATATGGTAGGTACCTCCATTTTAGGATCCTGAAATTCCCATTGAATAGTTGCCATTTTCAGACTTGTTGGATTTTAACATCCAAATTTCATTTCGAGAAAAGCAAGAGGTTTTGCTAACACAGAAGCTCCAGTGTTTCTGCATGTCATGGGGAATATTCCTTGATTCGAAATGGTGTGAAATCCCTTCGTTTTTCCATGCCTCCAACAGCATGATTCGGTCGTGCCTGCCTGGCATTTCATCAGCATTGCTGCAGGAATCCATTCCTGGGATGATATGGGATGATTACTCACTCCGTTTTGGTGACGGCAGCTGCGACAGCTAGATAAAAAAGTAGATCTCGTACAGCTGATGCAATCCCTCAATTGGGTTCCCTACTTCCAAGCATTTTGAATCATTTTGATGGATTCTTCTGAGACCACGATCTTGGAGAGACCCATTTCCAGCGAGACCCTGAAGCCCCACTTTGGTGAGTCCCATCCATCCAACATGAGAATCAAAAATTTCAGACATGTTGGTTACATCAGACAAATCCCCAGTTATGTGATGGATTTTCCAGTTTTGTTCAACAACCCCCCCGGTTGGATGCCTGGTCATCTGAGGAGCGGTTCCGCAGCGAGAAGATAATACCCGAGGAGCCACCCGAAGAGTGTGAGGGAAAGCAGTGGCTTTGTGCAGAATTCTCGTTTTTATGTGTTGGTTTTATGAAGTATATAGCGGGATGTCTAAAAAATTGGAATTTCCTGAATGCTCTGCATCCCAACCCACCAGTTGACCAGAACAGCTGCGGATACAATACATTTATCAGGCTTGCTCCAACCATTTGTAGGTAATAGCCAGAAGGGAGGTTAATGGATGATTTTAGATCTTTATTTAGCCAGTTTATATATATATATGTATCCCCCTAGTATGCGGGGTGTTGGGAGCAGTCCTGTTTATTGGTAAAAACAGACCGGGGTTGATTTCCTGCTAGCCATTAGAAGGTTGTTCTGCCATCCGCTTTTTGATGTTTGTGGAGTTTGTGGATTCAGTTCAGATCTTTCTGAATTAAGGCATGATTCTTGCAGCTTAACATCTGATTTTTACGGCTCAAAAACGCCGGTGGCTTTGGCTTTGTGGGTAAATCCCAGACACCCAGCTATTGGCTTTACCCAGCTATGGATATTTTATGGCTTTACCCAGCTACAAGCTCCATTTTTGTGGGTAAAGCATGGTTAAGCAACCACGCCATGAAACCAGTTCTCACCAGCAGGATGATGTGAGTGCCGGCTGGATCCTGGAAGAGTGGTTCAGCGGTCTGGAAGTGGATGTGGATGGCTGGGCCAAGGACCAAGGGACCATGCGATTTTTATATATTTTTATTGGGGGCAATCCACCAGCTAAAATGAGATTTTTCACGAGCAAACATGGGGATTTCACAAGTGTTAAGTTTAGAGAATAATTTGTGAAATATGGGTATCTCAAAGAGAGAAACTGGGATATACACCAACAAAGCATGGGTATCCGAAACCTTGGAAGACCTGTATAGATGAAGTGTAGCTTCATGAGAGATTTTTAGGTAGAAACCAGGGAAATACAATATACCAATCGTGTTGGCTCTTGGAAGTGCGAGTGTCCAAGCAAGCAGGGTTCTGACAGATATGAATCCAACGTTTTTCAGGGCTTAGAGTTCCAGAAGCCACTGAACAGTGAAAACCATGATGAAAAAGCTGGAGAAGACCAGCATGATGTTCTCGGATTTCACGACATTTCATGCTCAGTGCCATGGTTCTTCATGGTTCTTGGCATTTGGCGCCAGGATGGGGAAGTGGAATGGATGTTGGTCTCGGACAACAAGCCCGTGCTAAGCCATGCCTGCTGTGAGACAGGTGGCGTGTGGCTTGGAGTTCGATGGTTCGATGGCTGTTTTGTGGCGTGGGGATTTAACAAATGGGGGGGAATTCCAACAAACATCGGGTTGGTGGTGACTGGAACCATGGAATTTTATGACTTTCCATTCAGTTGGGAATTTCATCATCCCAACTGACTTTCACTCCATCATTTTTCAGAGGGGTAGGGCTCAACCAACCAGACATGGCGATTTCCGCAGTAAGCTGGGATTCAAACCTCCATTTTTTTCCATTGATGGTTCTTGGAGAGGTGTGAATGGCCAGTGGAAGGGACTTACGCAGCAAAACATGGAGGTTTGTGAGCAGCAATAATTAATGGGATATTGCATAAATATACAAACGGGCATATTGGATGGGATCTAACCAAGTATCTTGATATGACATTTGGGTGTCTGAAAACGAAGTATGTATTTTCAACATGACCCTTTACATAGGAAACATGATGATAGTCCTTTGGAATGTGGGGTGGTACCACATTTTCAGACAAACCCAGATCAATAGCATCTGGAACAAACACTTAAGATGCATATGCATCTTTCATGATCAACATGTAATATCTGTAGTTTCATATGTTGCATGCATTTGCGGCTGTTTCATCAGTGCAACTGTGCACTCAGTTCCAATTGGTGCAGTTTCCGAATGATGTCGTTCGAATGGTTCACCTGGTAAGAAGTAGCGTGTGATATCGACCACAACCGGCGAGGTTTGGTTGTACCAATGATACTAGACAATACTAGATACCCGGCCTGGTAAACGTTTACATAACTATGGAAAATCACCATTTTCCAGCTGGGTAAATCCACTATTTCTATGGCCATTTTCAATAGCTATGTTAGTCATTCTTCTGTCAGAACTGGGAGGGACACCAGAGGGGATTACACCAACCCATGAGAACATTAAAACAAATTTTAAAACATTTTGAAACATTAGATTTCATTAAATTTAATTTCATGGATATAGGTTGACTCAGAAGTGTTGGATGATATATTTTGATTGCTTCAGACATGAGCCAGGGGAGGTTGAATCTCAAAGCTGGCCCTTATTGTAGCCCATTGTGGCTCCACAACTCGCCTGTTGCCACCTTGCCATAGCTGCTTTGGGGTGCTCAGCTGCTGTGGCATCATGGGTGGGGATTCGAGGAAGAGAAGGAAGAGCCTTGAATTGGATTATAATGTTATGGAAGGGGGTTGTGGTTTCAATGTTTGAATGGTATCTCTGATAGGGTATGTTTATGACCCAAGAGAGTTGTATGCCTATGGTATGACTTATTTGGGTAGGTGGCCATTGGTGAATTGGTGGATGGCTGATGATGTTGGCCAATGAGTAGGTTGCCAGCCCATGCCAGCTGAGGTCAAGTCAATCGTCTTTGCAGCAGCAGCAGCAGCCAGTGCAGGGGGGCTATGTGCCTGGATACTATATGCAGCCTGGATTCCAAGCACCTCAGCCAGCTTTGCCCACTCAGCAGAGCTTGGCTGGCTACTTGGCATCATATCAGGGTTGGGGGGTGCTGGTTGGGACTGGGACAATCCATCAGTCAGTTGGCATCAGATCAGGGCTGGGGATGCTGGATGGTTCTCTCTACCCTTCATTTGATTGCCAAGCCCAATTCAGAATTGCAGATGGTACCTCATCCTGGAAATCCTGCATCATCATGGCCTGGCTCAGAACCTGCCAGATCTGATGTTCAGGAGAGTGATGATGAAGACTCTACTTCAAGTTACTGGGCTGCACTGTGAAGGTTTGGGGACCACTCATACAGACTGCATTCAATTGTGGGCCATCAGGGCGATCCATATCATATCCCCATGGACCTAGTATTGGGAACTTTGGCATGGGACATTCATTCACCCTTCCTACAATCCAAGGCAGCTCATCTGAGAGCTTTAGCTGCATTACTGGAGTGGTTTGGAGTGGGTCCCTATTGTGAAGTGGTCCCATGCTGGAGGCTTCATTTCTGTGGATTACTGGGCCAATACATTTATCAGTGGCAGGGGCATTCCAATTTAGTTCATATTTACTGGCTTCCAATCAGTCTTTTGCCCTAGGTCCAGAAAGAAGAAGAAAAAGAAGCACAAGAAGAAGGATAAAAAGGGAAAGAAGGATAAGAAAAGAGGCCATGGAGGGATGTGGATAGTTCACTGGCCACCTCAGGAACCTAAATTGGAGGTACCTACCATATATAATAAGGCCTATATAAGGCCTATGTAAGGGAATATACCCGCAAAATATAGCATTATATGATACAGTACCTCCATTTTAGGATCCTGAAATTCCCATTGAATAGTGTTTGCATTGGTGAAGTATGAAGTAGCAGGAAGTTATAAAGGTTTGATTGAGCCATGGACCATGGGCTATGGCTCATGGGCCATGTGTGGAGTCATTTATATGCATCAATCATTTGCTAGGTTATGTGCATGAACTTTGGGTTTCTTCAGTAGTTCAATCAGTTCAATATCCATGCATATTTGGAGACCCCATCCTAGAGCCCAGTTGGGCCAGGCAGAGATGAGTCATCAGATGCTTGCAGCCCCTTGGCAGCTGCAGGGGGTCACTGGGAACACTACCAAATATAACAATAATCATCTTTTGTAATGGCTGGGGTTGGGTTCAATGCAGGAAGTCCCAATGCATCCTTTTGGGACCAATGGCAAGTGAGGTGAAGACCTTGACAAGAGGCCAGTCCCAGCAGTGAGCTTGGGAAGGTGCAAGAAGAACAGGTCCAACCTGTTTCCAAGGACTGGGGTGGGCATGTGTTCAGCTTGCCAACAGATGATTTCCAAAATAGCAAAGTGCATTTATGCATATGTGGGCTTTGGAAAAGTCCATTTACAATCACCTAAGTATAGGCAAAGGCTTATGATGGCTGTTGCATATGCAGTCATGAACATGTGTGCAAAGCTGTACAGTCATACCAATCAGGGTTGTTTGGCACATGCCCATCATGGGTTGGGTGACATCCAAGTTCTGGGATTTCTGGGTATGGTCATTGTGAATCACTTCCCTGCAGGAGGGATGCTCTGAGATTTCTCAAAGCAATTGATGGGGAGAAGTTTGCAGATGGCCTGAGGCAAGCCCTATCAGATGATGAGATTGCTCAGGCATTCTGGTTGAGCACAGGGTTTCCACCACAACTTCGACTTAAAGATCTCAGGGCCAAAGACAGAGGAGAGTTGAAACTTGTACCAATTCAGATGGGTGGCACATGATGACTGTTGGATTTGAGCTGCCGCTGCATAGACTTACCACCATTCCATCCAACTTTGATTGTTTTCACCTGATGGTCATGAAAGTGAAGGATTTCTTTGCTATCATTGATTGCCACCAGCACATCATGACTGCTGGATTTGAATTGTCACTGCATAGACTTACCACCATTCAATCCAACTGTGATCTTTTTCATCTGGTGGCTTGCTCATAAGAATGAAGTATTGCTTCAATATCATTATTGCCACCAGTGTTGGATTTGAGCTGCCACTGCATAGACTTACCACCAGTCCATCCAACTTTGATCTTTGTCATGTGATGGCTTGCGCATGACAGTGAAGGAGTTCTTCACTATCATTGATTACCACCAGCACATCATGACTGTTGGACATGAGCTGCCACTGCATAGACTTACCACCATTCAATCCAACTTTGATCTTTGTCATGTGATGGTTTGCTCATGAAAGGTTTCAGGATTTCTTCACTATCATTGATTGCCACCAACACATAATAACAGGTGGATTTGAACTGTCACTGCCACCATGCCATCCTATCAGTCCAGCCCATAGCTCTCACAACTCTCTCCACCAGGAAAGGGAAGTTTGTGGAGAATGCAGCAAGGATGACACAAAGGTTGGGAAAGTCTAGGCTGGATGAGGTCAACTCAGACTACAGCAACCTGGATACTTGCTTCTCAAATGGGGGTGTGTGAAGGCAGGCTGAAATATGTGCTTGCTTGCTCATGCTAAGATACCAGTTTGAAATGGGAGCATCCATGCAGAAGGGTACTTTCCAAAGTGTCAATCCAGAAATTTCAACCATGCACATTATGTGGCATCATGTAGAATCCCAACATTATGCAGCAGCCATGGGTGAACTTAGGGGGACTAACTATGGACCTTTGACCACTGCCCAATCAGCACAGGTTTGAGCTGCAAAGTTTTTTCCAATCTTTGCCCAGGAGCAGGTGGCCAAGAAATATGGATGGGATGATGTCTTTGCTGGCAAGCCAGTTGGAGCACCTTGGCCTAATTCTGTAGGGCAAGAGGTTGGTTGGGAAGGGATGGGTTGGAGCATGTTGCAGTGGGATGCAACACAAGTATGATGATGACTGTTGGACTTTAGACTTTAGATGGTTTATAATTGAACATTGTGAGTGAAGGGTGTGCACAGATGGGCTTAAATACTGGACATTGATACCAAACCATCAGCATCACCATCAGCATCAAACCCACCATCATGCCAAAATACATACATGCACAAATACAAACATACATAGATGCACACATACTAAGGACTACATGCATACATACAGACTTACATGGATATAATTACTATACTATCATTATTGCTAATTACATAATTGGCTGTTCAATGAATAATTGTGCATATGTGCAAATAGCACATGATCAAATGGTAATTGTTATTTGTATTACATCATTAGATACTTCCATGTCCAATGGCCCTGGGTTGAATGATTGCCCACTCTGTTTTGGCTGCTTGGACTGAGGCCTCACAGCCACCACCTGAGATGACACCAGGCAATGATGCCAGACCACAGTACTGGGTTGAGATTGCAAGATCTGGTGATATGTGGATGCTATCCAAAGATGGAGGCTAGGCTGCAGGGACCCACCTGTTACTGTTGAGATCAAATGGGCCATTGGTGGACATTGTATGGGACATGGCTCATGCCAATGCAGGTGTTTCCCATGGTGAGTAGAAGCCAACCAAAGCACCACCATTATCACACAGGAGCTTTGCACACTGGCAGGGGGTTGAAGCAATCCACCATTAACAGTTATCATTAGCATGTTAGTCTAGATACTGTACTGTTCTTGTTCTTGTTCTTGTTCTTGTTGTTGTTCTTGTTCTTCTTCTTCTTCTTGTTGTTGTTGTTGTTGTGGTGGTTGTTGTTGAGCCTATGCATCACTGGTAGGGCACTGGTGGTGAGCCAATGCATGAGCACTGATAGTCCATTGTGGTGGTTTCCCATACTAGTTGTTGAGCCAGATCATCATCATTGGCAGCTAAGGTGGTCCACCAAAGCTTGTTTGGACAAAGGGTGCGCCCTGCTGCAAGATCTACACCAGTCAGGGCAAACATGCTCTGAAAGGACCTGGGCCTGAGCACTTTCAGGTCTTGATGGCAGAGTTGTATGAGACAGAGGTAGGATACATTACTTGGATGACCAAACTGGAAACTTGCCAGGAACCAGTGGGTATTGGTGGGGTGGGGTGTTCACAATTAGGTGGGGTTATGCAAACCTTGTGATGGAACTTGGCTATTTATCCCTACTTAAGGTTATGAACATTGTGATTCACACCAGTAAATCCAAAGTGTATGCTTCACCAATACATTCTTCTTGAGGTGGGTGAATGAATGTAGGCCAGCCCTGCTTTGCCCCCCCATTCAAATCAAGCCATCATAGTGCCAGCAGTTGAAATATCTCATGCAAGAACATAACATGAAAGGGGTCCTGCTGAATAGCCTGACTGGGCTGTTTGGTTTACAATCTTTCTGTAAACAATACCAAGCCAGCCACTGCCAACCAAGGTGGAAGCTGCTCAGATGTGCACTGGAGAAGCTTGGGCCCAGAGACTTTTGAACTTCCAAGAGAGGGGGGTGGTGGTGCCAAATTTGATGGTGTGCAATTTTAAAGTGTGACTGTTGCTTTTAAATAGATGGGTGATGGGTGGTGGAATGATGATGGACAAGTGATATAGGATAACAGTAATACAGGAAAGCCATGATCAATGATTGGAACATGAATGACTTAGTGAGGAGAAGAAGTGTGTTGTTTTGAGGGTGGATGAAACTGTTCAAGAAAATATTTTATCTGGTTGGTAGACAAAGGCTTAGCTTAGTTTGAACTATCCATGACTGAAATGGATTTGGTTTGAACCCTCAAAATTTAGTGAATACCAACCCATGGGCAGGACATCCCTGACTTCGAGCCTGTTCAGCTGAAGCAGCAAAGCATGGCTGCTGTCTTTGCCAAGCTCAGAGTTCAGCCTCAGCAGCAAGCCCTTACAGCCCCAGCACAAACAACAGCAGAGGTGCCAAACCAGCAGCAACAAAGCTTTTCAGCACAGATGCAGCAGCAACCTATGCACCTTTCTCCACAGCAACAGCATCTGCAACCTCAGCAGCACCAGCAAGGAGTGGCAGTTCCACAGCAGCAGCAACAGCATCTGCAACCTCAGCAGCACCAGCAAGGAGTAGCAGTTCCACAGCAGCAGCAACAGCATCTGCAACCTCAGCAGCACCAGCAAGGAGTAGCAGTGCCACAGCAGCAGCAGCAGATGCAATCTCAACAGGTACAAGGAGTGACAGCACTACAGCAGCAACAGCCTGTGCAGCTACCCCAGCAGTCCCAAGAAGGAGTGGCAGTTCCACAGCAGCAGCAACAGCATCTGCAACCTCAGCAGCACCAGCAAGGAGTAGCAGTGCCACAGCAAGAACAGCATGTGCAACCTCAGCATCATCAACAAGCAGTGGCAGCACAACAGAACTACCAACAGGAACCTGTGCAAACTCAGCAGCAGAGATTAGCAGTGCCAGCACCATCTGTGCACCATTTGCAGCAGCAACATGGGGTGACAGCACCACAGAAGCAGGCATTGGAACAACAGGCCCAAACACAGCAGCAACAACAGCCAGAACTGACACCAATTCAGCAACAGCAGCTGCTGCAACAGATGCAGCACCAACAAGCACTGGCACCACAACAGCAACACAGAGCCATGATAGTACATGCTTTGCAGCAGCAGCAGATGCAACAGCAGCAAGGCAATGGCAAACTACAGATCCAACCCCAGATGCTACAAGGGCTGCAGCAATATGCAAATCCAATGCAGTTCTGGCAACAAGGGCAAGCAGTACATCCACAGGCACACCTGCAGATGCAAGCTGGGCAACCATCTCAGCAAGGGCAGCCACACCCACACTATGGGTGCCTAGGAATGCAAGTTGGGCAACGACCTCCAACTGGAGGGCAGCCAGGACAAACACACCAACAGGGTCAGCAGAACCATGGCCCAGGTGGGAGCCAACAACAAGCACCTCCAGGGCAAGCAGCCCAGCAAGGTCAGGTGAATGGCCAAGGTGGGAAACAGCAACAAGCACCTGCAGTGCAAGCACCCCAGCAAGGTCAGGTGAGTGGCCAAGGTGGGAATCAAGGGCAACAAGCTCCAACTGGTGGGCAGCCAGGGCAAGCATCACAGCAAGGTCAGGTGAATGGCCAAGGTGGCAACCAACAACAAGCACCTGCAGTGCAAGCAGCCCAGCAAGGTCAGGTGAATGGCCAAGGTGGGAACCAGCAACAAGCACCTGCAGTGCAAGCACCCCAGCAAGGTCAGGTGAATGGCCAAGGTGGGAATCAATGGCAACAACCTCCAATTGGAGGGCAGCCAGGGCAAACAGAGCTACAGGGTCAGCAGAACCATGGCCAAGGTGGGAACCAACAACAAGCACCTCCAGTGCAAGCAGCCCAGCAAGGTCAGGTGAATGGCCAAGGTGGGCAAGCACCCCAGGAAGATCAGGTGAATGGCCAAGGTGGGAATCAAGGGCAACAAGCCCCATTTGGTGGGCAGCCAGGGCAAGCAGCCCAGCAAGGTCAGGTGATTGGCCAAGGTGGGAACCAGCAACAAGCACCTGCAGTGCAAGCAGCCCAGCAAGGTCAGGTGAATGGCCAAGGTGGGAGCCAACAACAATCACCTGCAGTGCAAGCACCCCAGGAAGATCAGGTGAATGGCCAAGGTGGGAATCAAGGGCAGCAAGCCCCATTTGGTGGGCAGCCAGGGCAAGCAGCCCAGCAAGGTCAGGTGATTGGCCAAGGTGGGAACCAGCAACAAGCACCTGCAGTGCAAGCAGCCCAGCAAGGCCAGGTGAATGGCCAAGGTGGGAATCAATGGCAACAACCTCCAATTGGAGGGCAGCCAGGGCAAACACAGCAACAGGGTCAGCAGAACCATGGCCAAGGTGGGAACCAGCAACAAGCACCTCCAGTGCAAACAGCCCAGCAAGGCCAGGTGAGTGGCCAAGGTGGGAATCAAGGGCAACAAGCTCCAACTGGTGGGCAGCCAGGGCAAGCATCACAGCAAGGTCAGGTGAATGGCCAAGGTGGCAACCAACAACAAGCACCTGCAGTGCAAGCACCCCAGCAAGGCCAGGTGAATGGAGAAGGTGGGAACCAAGGGCAACAAGCTGCAAGTAGTGGGCAGCCAGGGCAAGCACCCCAGCAAGGTCAGGTGAATGGCCAAGGTGGGAACCAAGGGCAACACCCTCCAGCTGGAGGGCAGCCAGGGCAAGGACCACAGCAAGATCAGGTGAATGGCCAAGGTGGGAACCAGCAACAAGCACCTGCAGTGCAAGCACCCCAGCAAGGTCAGGTGAATGGCCAAGGTGGGAACCAAGGGCAACACCCTCCAGCTGGAGGGCAGCCAGGGCAAGGACCACAGCAAGGTCAGGTGAATGGCCAAGGTGGGAACCAGCAACAAGCACCTGCAGTGCAAGCATCCCAGCAAGGTCAGGTGAATGGCCAAGGTGGGGACCAAGGGCAACAAGCTCCAACTGGAGGGCAGCCAGGGCAAGCACCACAGCAAGGTCAGCAAAACAATGGCCAGGAGGGGGGCCAACAACAAGCACCTGCAGTGCAAGCACCCCAGTATGGCCAGGTGAGCAATGGCAAAGATGGGAACCAAGGGCAACCACTTTCAGGAGGACAAGCACTTCAGCAAGGTGGGGCAATGCCATGCAAACCATCTCCAAAACAACCACTTCCTGGGCAAGCAGCTGTGGAAGAGCAGGTGAAGCAGCCAGGTGAAGGTGGGGGTGCAAAACAGCCAGGGGATGCAAAACACAGAACCCCAAAAGCATAAGCTGGCAGCAACATGTGACTCTTGGAGGCTAGCTGGGGCATGGGGAAAAGCATCCATGTATGTGGAAATATAGCTACTAGTTCTGCATGTAATGTCATTGTGTATGTGGGTGTAAGTATGAACATGTGTACAATGTTACAACCCTTTTGGATTGTGTGGTAATATTTATGCTTGGGGTTCAATTGGCTTGTACAGGCAAATGTTACTAGCAACAGTGACATGCACATGCCATAGCAATGTACCTTGGAAAATGGTGGTTTCAGATCTTCAAGTAACTTATGTGCACATCAGCATATGAACATACAGGCATGCATGTATAACCAGGCACTAGTGGAACTGGACTAGCAACATGATCTCATGGACTCTTGGAACCAGAAGTCAGAAACATTCATTTGAAACAAGTATGAAGGCTACCTTTAGGTATTGTTAGAACAGTTGACCAGGACCAATGACACCTCTGACACTTGCCCTTCAGGAGAGTCAATGAATGGCCTTGATGTGAATATCTAATCAGACTTCCTTCTTTGACAGATGGGCAGCTTGACTGGCAGTGGTGGATGGCATGGCATAGGGGAAGTGGTGTTACTGTAAAGCATAACCATCATGAACTCAACCTGATATGACAGGTAGTCATGTATTCACCATGTTGTGGCTAGGTGGGAGTAACAACATGGGATACCATCCATGAAGTAGCCATGAGGTGTGAGGAAGCTACATCCAGACAAGCTGGAAAACCTTGCTTCTCAGGACTCAATTTTGCAATTGCCCTTCCTATTGGCAATATGGCACCTGGGCTCTTGTGGGGTAAAGATGTTATCTTTGGGGTGTTGGCAGATTTTGGGGTCAAGATGGTAGAGTGTGGTTGGGTCCAGATGAATGATGATGAATGTGATGGGTGGATGTGGCAATTATTGCAGGTGATATATTAGATATTCAGTATGATGTAAGAAATGCCCATGAGTTTTTACCAATACCATCATACATCACTGATACACACTTTAGCATTTGTGAATGCACTGGTGGGTATGAAAAGACCAATAGCCACATACAGGAAACCAGTGTTTGTGGATACTAAACATCAAGGTAGCCTATTAAAGATCTTTCAAAGTGTTTGGAATTCAAAAACAGAAAGTAAAATACAGGGGTGGAGCTGAAGAATGGGGACTGCCTCATACTCATAATAAGCAGCTACTTAGGTTCAAGGCAGCCTGACTGACTAACTAGTGCTGCTAAAAGGTGCCATGGAACATCACCCGACGGTTCTTGATACTCCTTGTGGCACTCAAGATGATGGTGAGCCACTGGTCTTCCTTGAGTCTGATGAGCCAGCTGTGAAGAGAAGGAGGGACTACAAAGATGATGCCCAGTGCAATGAGAAGATCCCTAGGGAGTTCATGGCTGAATGGGTGGCTACCCCAAAAGGGATTCTACCCTTTGTAAAGAACATGGAGACTGGTGTGGTCCATTGTGGATTTGTAAAGATGAAGGTCTTGCATTTTAAAAGTGCTTCTGGGTGTGATGACTACAAGTCTGTAGTGTGTTTAGATGGCTGTGACACAGTGGATTGCAAAAAAAAGCAATCCAGAATGTGACTGTGTTTGCCACTTCCTGCAAAGGGATTATAACCTCAGGCCCAGTCATTGAGCTGAGTTGGCTTTGATTGGGCAAACTTGGATGAGTGGTGGGGCCCAAAACAGAAAAGCTGCCCACCATGACTGCAGTGCATGAACACCAATTGTGATTTTGTGGGTTGGAAAGTTTAGCAAACCAGGGTTTTGATTCCAAGGGGATGTTTACATGGCAGAGGCATTCATTTATGAACATTGACTTTTATCAAGAATATTGCCAATGAAAGTTCAAATGGATGCCATGCTTTGACATGTCAGGTATGATATGGTGGCCTTCAATGTTTATTGTGGAGTGGGGCCTACCTTTTGAGATGTGGCTTGCCCACTGCTGGGGTGTTGGGTTTGGTAGTGGTAATTCATCAAAGTATGGGATTTGGTAGTGCTGGCCAAGCACTGTATGAGATTGTGTGGCACACCCTTGGCCATTGGCATTAGTATACAAGAGTAAGGGGTTGCACATTCACCAACAGAATTGGTGCAGTGTACCAATGCATGCTAGCTGAGGTATGCTTTATCCTTTTGGCTTATTGGCATTTTGCAGCAGCTATCATTTTGGAGTGTCTTGGCACCATTTGCTCAGGTAGCTGTAGATTTGGTAGGTGGGGTTGGTCTGATGGCTAGGCCAGCTAGACTTGTGGTGCCAGATGCTACAGCATTGGCAGAGGGCAGTTGATGTAGAAACATTACAAAGATGTCTTGGTTCAAAAATAGCCTCACAGAAATGTGCTATGCATGCCATGCTCTCTACAGCTTAGGTGTGGAACCTCCTTGGGCTCTTTGGAGCAGGGCCTGGATTGGGAGATGTGGCTTGGACCTGCTGCTGCTGGGGTTGGTGGGTAGGTGTAGCTCTTGTCATGGTGGAATGGCCATGGTCACTTCCCATAAGCTATGTAAGTTCAGAGGGGTATGCTTTTAACCAAATAATTAACCAGCCTCCATTGTAATGTACACCTGATACTGGCATTACAGCAATCTTAATAAACCATTCTTCTTACCACCAAAAGCAAGGCAACCATGCAGTAATTCAGTAACCCACTGCACTTCAATAAGGTGACATCCCAGTAAGCTTAGGGTCTTGTGAAGGGGGCCTGCATGTCATGTTGTCCAGGGGGTGGATATTTGATATATACATATAATACATATGTATATATATATATGTGTATACATATATATATATGTATATACATATACATATATATGTATACATATACATATATAAATACATATATATATATTTACACATACACATACATATATATATATATGTATATACATAGATTCAATAGTTTTGTTGGCATTGAATCATGAATGCTCTAAGGCTTTGGGTGATGTATCAATGGGCAAGGGGTGTAGTTTTGTAATGTTGTGGCCCTGCATGCAACCAAAATGTAATATGATATGGTATGGCTTTGGCATTTCTTGGGTATAGCCATGGCATATGGTCAATGTGTAATGAGTTGTCCTTTAGTTCATTCATGGTGGTAGGTTGTTAGGTTTGTCCCTTGTGATGATAAGATGACACTGGAGAATTTCATGGGTACCAATATTCTGAATTTGTCCTACATAGAGTGTTGGCTGCTGGAAGCTGGCCAAGCAAACCCCAGCTCAAGGAATGATGGATATACTTTTGATGTTGCTGGCTCTGGTCATGTTGACCTTGGCAATGCACCTTGGTCAACTCTTGGGAAGCTATGGGGCTGTGGTGAATGGTAGGGTAGTCAGGTGAATGAGGAATGTAGAAGGCTTGACTCCTTAGTTACAGATTTATGCAGGCAGTCCAGTTTCAAACAGTTTTGGAAATACCAAGAAAGCATCATACATTATTTGTTTTGTTTTTGTTTTTAATTGCTGTATGCTGTAAAAATTTGTTTTTATGTGTGAAAATGTTTTGCAAGTTTGGTGACAAATTAAAACACATTAAAAACATGTGAGCAATACTAAAAGTAGTCTACACAGTTTAAATTGAATACAAAAAAACAGGGCAGGGGGTCCCCAAAATCCATTTTTTTTTAATTTTTCTTAACTTTTTAAAAGTTTTTGTATTTTTATTTATTTATTTTTATTTTTATTATATTTTTTTAATTTTCCTAAACCCTAAACTAAAAAAAAAATTGGGCAGAGTTCCCCCTGAGGGGCCGACCCCTCTTGCTAGGCCAGGATGTGCTCCTGGAGGCAATCACATGAAGTTGAGTGATAGAGTTCCACCCACAGACAATGGCCAGACTGGGGTCTCCACAGCCCCTAGCATCACAGGTAGCTGCAAGTATAATATTTAATAGTAAGGTAAGTAAACCCCTGATGTACCTGAAACCATCCTGACTGAGTAGAAACCCTGAACCCTCAGACATAATAAATAGACCTTAAATTAAAACACATAAATAAATAAAGCCAAAAACACCAGCCCACACACCATCTTAGATAGTCTGTACTCACCTCCATCAAACTAAGGCATCATGATGGAGACCTGGTATGCCCCACAGTGGGCATATGATTCTGAGGGCTTGGTGGCAAAAGATTTGTCACATGGGGGGCTGGGACCATGTGATGCTGAATGATCAATGGTATGGTGCATTGCAGAAGGCTAAGTATGGCATGCTTCTGGAAAACAGAAATCAGTGGAGGGAGTGCTTGGAACAGAACAACCCATGCATACTTTAGTTAGCAATGGCAAGCTCATGATGTATCATGTTGTGCAACCAGTGGTGATGTGTATCTGTTGCTGCTCAAATGAGAAGCTGGTAGTGAACTTTTCGACCTCTTTGACACTCAGCTGTATGTTGGAGTTGGGATAAGATGGATGGCCATAGACTGACCAAACATTTGAGTGACAAAGATTTGGAGTTTCAACATGTCATGTGTCACTAGGATGACATGCCATGACCTCTTTAAACATGGCCTCAGCTGGCACCAAGGATGCTATGGACCAGGCAGCTTCTTCAACTCAAGCTGCTGCTTCTCAAGGTGGCGATGAACCAGACACTATGCAGCAGTATGAGGGCATCAGTGAGACCAGACTCTTGGCAGCATAGTTGGGAATGATGGAAAGAATGAAACTTGGTTTGACCACTCACAGCAATGTTTATTAAACAATATGAGGTACTGCATAAAAGACACTGTAGCTAACAGAGCAATTGTGTGTAGGAAATGGTTCAATGTATACATGCACAGATGTATATATATATATATCTATTAAACATACATGTAGAAATAGGTAGGTCATGCTGATAGAAGTAGACAAGGCCTAGCACAGAAAAGAACTTCCAATCTAGTTTTGAGTAATGAAGCCATTAAAATATCCCACTGGATGTGCATGGTCTGCAAACTTAGCCATGGCCTGCCAATCATCATTCACTGCTGGAATTCTGAGGAGTGGGAATCATTCCTTTTCCTCCCACTGGCATGATGGACTTGGTGGTTAGTGGGGCCTGGGAGATCACAGATGGTGAGCCCAGCTGGGTTTGGACATACAAAGGAGGATGGAAACAAACAGTGTCAGCTCTGCAGGTTGCAATGGACAGCACAAAGGTGAAAGGCTTCAAGAAGGATTTTGCCATTGCTCATGCTGAGCATAAAGTAGAGCTAATCTACCAAATGTTGGACCTGCCTCAGCCTAGCATGCCAGAGACCAGAAGGAAACTTGTGCAATGGTATGAAGATGGGAATGTGCCCCAACTGCACTTTTGGGTTAGGTGCAAGCATTGCATTCAAAAAGAAATGTATGGGAATGCATGCCAGTAGCTAGTGGGTCTACTCCTACAGCCTGTCCCTTTCCAAGGAGCTGACTGCAGCAGATGTCATGAAGTACAAGGACCTCATTAAGACCACTAGTGGCACAGGAGGTACTAATTGAGTACCTTGACTATATGGCAGGGCTCTGCAAGCACCCATGCCATTTAGGCCCACACCCCCTTGCCCACTAAGGTAGCACCCTTTGAGCATCAAGGTGACAGAGCTTTGTACCAGTGCCATGGCAGCAGGGATCCATTTATACATAGAGATACCTACATGTTAAGTTTGATGTCTATTATACATTTATTGCATACATACACACACACACACATATATATATATATTGTAAAATAGCCTGTGACCAGAGCATGCAATAGTGCACTTGGGCAAGGAAACCATGCAGAACACTGCAATGCTACAAGCGTGTGGGCCCAGTGGTAAGTACGGTGAATTTTGTGTGCCACATAAAGCAGTGCAACCAATGACATTCAGACACCCAAGCACTAAGGTGCTGATGGAAATTTGGAAATCACCTGGCAACCTGGAAAATATGCAGCTCTTGCATTGGAAAGGTTGTGGGGGATTGCTGAGATGCCAGAGGTTTGATAGGTGAGGCATCATCAGCAGCAGATGAGTGTACATGTGCATGCACAGCAATGGTTAGCATGTTATATGCATGACAGCTTGGATTAATGTGGTTTTCTTGGATTGCTCAAAGCATGGCCTGGAGCCATTTGACCCTTTGGGGTAAACTGTCGAAGCTAGGCTTAATGAAGAATTGCAGCTGTGTTTCATCTGAATGATTTGAAGCACTGCCATAGAGTAGGCAAAGGGCCAACAACAAGGAGCTAAGGACCAATCATGGCAGCTCCTATCAATGATTTGGACAATGCTGAGCTGATCAGGCAGAGGGAGGCCGACATCCTGTGGGCTTCTGAAAAGGAGATCAGGCTCAGGTGTGATGGGCTGACCCCATTAGAGACACTTGGTCTGAGGAAAAACTTCTTGTGGCAGAGTGACACCAGATGTTTTTACAATGATGCAGAGAAGGTTCAGTCATTCTTTGGCCAATGTCGTGGTGGTACTGCTGCATGCAAGAGACTTTTGAAAAGGTGCATGGAGAAAGCACCCTCTGTACCTGGTCAACAGGTAAATGTTAAAGAGGTCCAATTCACCCTGGGAAAGCACTTGCTGTTAGCAGACAGAAGGCAGAGGATGAGGGATGAGTGTCCTCCCAACATTTTGCCATGCAGATGTTTTGCAGCCACCTATGTGATGCCAGCTGGCTGTGTGCATTGTAAAGTGCCACTGTGGAAACTTTCAGTGCTACAAGAAAGTCTATGCCCAACATGTAGTGTATGCCTTCGATGTAACAAGTTGCCTGGATGATTGTGTAGAAGGCTTGTTTTGTCAATCTGGTTTTTCAGGTCAGGTGAATCACAGGTTTGGTGTGAAGGGTTTGATGGAGTTGATTTGGCATGATCATGGGTTGAGTGTGGGTGAAGTCCCTTATATGTCCATGTGGCCCAGGTTGTGCAAGATTGCAGTGCAAAATGCACTGGGGCAAGAAGCTTGCACTCAGATGATGGCTGAGAACAAGACTTGCATATGCTCTTCTGCTGGAGTTCCTGGACTGTGGCTACACTACTTGGAAAGAGATGTGGCCTGGCTTTAATTGGATGGGCCATTGGGTGGGGTCTTTGGCTGTGCTGGAGTCCTGGGTAGGGGGGAAAGTAGAGCCATTTCAACACCATGGCAGGTGCCTCATGACCATGGTGATGGACCTGAAGCTGCTGCTGTTCATGGAGAAGAGGCTGGGCTGGGCTTTAATTGGATGTGCCATTGGATGGGCTTAATATATTATTCAAATTTATATTATATATTTTGTACACAAGTTAATTTGGTGTTTGATAATTCTTTAGATAATGTTATATCAAAATGAGGTCTTTGTCTGTGCTGGAGTCCTGGGTAGGGGGGAAAGTGGAGCCATTCCAACAGTACAGCCATGGCAGGTGCCTGATGACCATGATGATGGACCTAGACCTGCTGCTGGTTATGAAGAGCCTTGATTGGAAGCTTCTTGGAATCTATGGGTGGGAGGGACTTGATGGTAACTAAGAGGTTGAGCATGTTGTGGCAAGAATGCTTGGGCATGGAATGGTTGGGCACTGGCTCATGCTTCATGCTCAGTTTCATTCCCACCCCAGGTTCTCTCCATGTATGTTGACATGGTGATGGATGATAGGGTTTTGCAACTAGACTGCATTGGCAAGCATCATGTGTAGGGTTTGCACCAGCTTTATGTAAACATGTGATTGTCCAAGGAAACCAATCATCCAAACCCAATTGCAACACCTCCCCAGTGACCAAGCACTGAAGGTATGGTGGGCATATTTGTATGCTGCTGTATCCTGGAAGGGCATGCTGAGCCTGAGCCTGTGGAGGAAAATGATGGTGCATGGAATGGAGATGGTGAGTGGTACTTGAAACTGTGTTGTCATAGGTGGTTGCATGTGACATGTTCACAGCTGGGCCATGTTTGTGGGAAGAGGCAATGTGAATGTGGTGCCATTGGTGCTGGCATGTCATGTGGTAATATGTGTGAAGTTTGATTTAAACTCAGCAGATTGATGCAAGTGTAAATTGTCACATGCTCCTTGCTGTTTTTAGCTGATGCTCAACATAGTAGCAGGCATAAAGCCAATCGAGATGCATCACTGTTCACACTTTCAAAGAAATGTGAATTGACCTAGGTACCCTCATGCCACATGGGGCAATTTGCATGTTTAGCAGCTACACTCTTAACATGTGTTGGTGTGTAGTAGAGGCATGAATGATGAATTATGAACAAATAAGATAGTTACAACTTTCAATCTTTCTCACTTAGGTATTTAGTAGAGCCATGGATGATGATAGAGATTATGGTGGGGCTAGCTCCTCACACCTGCCTTGCCTAGGGAACCCAGCCCTTGTCCCACATGTGCATTGGCAGGTCAACCAGGATGCCCTCAGCACCTTTCCAGGCATGCATGCTGAGCCACAGCATTTGTTAGGAAATACTATCATGACACCATGTGGTTCTAGCCCATCAGCAAGTGCCTTTGCAATGCCTGGCCTTCCTGTGGCCCCATGTGCACCATTGCCATTGCCAGCACCAAGTGGTGTTCACCAGCCACTGCTTGTTTCAGGAGACAATGCCATGAGCCCATCTGTACATAGCCCATTGGCACCACCTGCCTTTGCAATGCCTGGCTTGCCTGAGCCACCTGTGTTAGGAGACCATGCCATGAGCCCATGTGTGCATAGCCCATTGGCACCACCTGCCTTTGCAATGCCTGGCTTGCCTGAGCCACATGTGTTAGGAGACCATGCCATGAGCCCATGTGTACATAGCCCATTGGCACCACCTGCCTTTGCAATGCCTGGCATGCCTGAGCCACCTGTGTTAGGAGAGCATGCCATGAGCCCATTTGTACATAGCCCATTGGTACCACCTGCCTTTGCAATGCCTGGCTTGCCTGAGCCACCTGTGTTAGGAGACCATGCCATGAGCCCATCTGTACATAGCCCATTGGCACCATTTGCCTTTGCAATGCCTGGCTTGCCTGAGCCACCTGTGTTAGGAGACCATGCCATGAGCCCATTTGTACATAGCCCATTGGCACCACATGCCTTTGCAATGCCTGGCTTGCCTGAGCCACCTGTGTTAGGAGACCATGTCATGAGGCCATGTGTACATAGCCCATTGGCACCACCTGCCTTTGTAATGCCTGGCTTGCCTGAGCCACCTGTGTTAGGAGACCATGCCATGAGCCCATGTGTACATAGCCCATTGGCACCACCTTTCTTTGCAATGCCTGGCTTGCCTGAGCCACCTGTGTTAGGAGACCATGCCATGAGCCCATCTGTACATAGCCCATTGGCACCACCTGCCTTTGCAATGCCTGGCTTGCCTGAGCCACCTGTGTTAGGAGATCATGCCATGAGCCCATGTGTACATAGCCCATTGGCACCACCTGCCTTTGCAATGCCTGTCTTGCCTGAGCCACCTGTGTTAGGAGACCATGCCATGAGCCCATTTGTACATAGCCCATTTGGTCTAGCATACCAGTCACAGCCTGTGGTAGGGGATCATAGTATGGCTGCCAGTGCTAACCCATTAGCAGAATCAAGTGCTGGCTCACCAGAGCCATTGCCTGCAGGATTTCCACAACTACCCAGCCCAGATTCAGATTTTGGGCCTTTCCCAGTTGAACTGTTTGCCAAAGGTGCTTTGCCAAAGCAAGAGGCCCAGCAGCCCACCATGTTTTGTGACCCTGTGCATCCAAGCCAAAGTGTTCACCACCAGGACTTGGAAGTTCATACAAGGTGGTGCCCCCCAGTTATAAGTTGGTTTATAAACCCCATTAACTATAGATATAAGTACAATAAGCCATAGTTATTGGAGTTATAAACCAACTTAGCTAACTATGGGGCACCACCTTGTAGGTTTTTGCAAGACAGCCAGATCATGCTGCCAGAAGCTGTGCCTATACAACCAGCAGTAGTGCCCCAGGACAGTGGCCAGTTGTTGTTAGCCTCTGCAGATAGAGGTGGTCAGGTGGTGGTGTCACAAAAAGCAATTGCACCACAGGTGAGGAGGCACATTGTGAAGCCTTCAGAAGATCATGAGCTGCCATGCAAACTGGCACTTGCCAAGCTAAATGATGATTTGGTGCTAGCAGCCAGTGTTATAGAGCCAGATGATCAGAGCCACACAGAAGTCACGAAAGGTAGCGTCAGCTACCTGAGTTCTCCGTGCTTCAGCACAAGCTTAGGGGGTATTGGGGGGCCAGCCCACGGAATTCATGGAATTCTCGCCGTTATGTATTGGATATCAATTATAAGGGGGGGCCCCCCCCCCGAAAAAGGGTCATGGGTTCAATTCCCACGGGTGACGCGGTCACGGGCCCCCACATTAGAGGCACACTTTCCATGAGGGAGATGTCCCTGCAGTCCAGCATAATTGGTATGCTTCAGCCTCAATAACAGTTGCTGCAAGGGGGCTTAAAAAGGGGGTTTAAATAAACCCCTTTTCGTGCATCATTTCACGCTGCACAAGACACCGTATCATGCAGTCATGCTCTGGATAAAATCATCTTAGACTGCGCAAAAACGTTTTTGGTGTATCATCTTAGGGGCGCAGCATTTTGACACCACTCCTCTCCCACTACACTACCTTTCGTCCGCCTCCGCCTGCTCTCAAGTAGAGTGGGAATGGGGTAGGGTAGTGACTGCCATTGGGGTGAAAACAGAAAAAGATCACATATTCTTTAAGCAGAACAGAGAGAATCATATACAAGAACTCATAAATGCAAGCATCCCACAAGGGGAGCTCAAGGTGAATGGCAATGGTGCTTTGGCATATACTACCCATTGCATGAATAGCAGAGCTTTCATGTTGTTGATCCTTTTGCTTGCTTGCACCAAGCAACTAGCAGCAGCCTTCAAAGAGAAGGCACTGTCGATTTGCATTGGTTTGATGCAGCTGGGAGTGAAAACCTTAGCCAATGATGAAACCTTGCTGGGCACAGTGTATGTCAAAGGCAAGGGTTATATTTCCCAGGCCTTGAGAGTTGATAGCAATGGGCTTGTGCATGGCCTTCCCACCCTCATTGAGGCCCATCCAGGTGTGAAGTGGGCATGGGCTTTTTTGATGAAAGATGGTATGTGCTCCCAGAAAATCACAAGTTCACCAGCATTACCTACTGTTTGGGACCTTCTCATTTTACTTGTATGGGCAAAGACCAACCCATCCATGAGAAATGTTTGGAAACATGTTGGCCAGCTGCTGTGGCCACAAGTTTTGTGGCTATGTGGCAGGATTTTGGATAGCTTGGCATTAGAGAAATCTAAAAGGCCTTTAGAGCAGCTGCCTCTTTTAAAAACAGCAAAAGGTAAAAATAAAAGGGTGCCTTGGCAAAACAAAGTGATTTTGCTCAGAAAACTTAGAAGGGCCAAGCACCATAGGAAAAACACTATGGAATCCCACAGTGATGTAGTACCAAAGGGCACAGAGCTTGTCACTGCAGAACAAAAGTTGACAACAGCTCTGTATGCCTACAAGATCAGGCAGGCATACCAAGATGCATACCATCTCTCCATCCATTGGGACCCATCAAATTATGACACAGAGACAATGGTAAGCATCATTTTTTCCCTTCAAGCAGGGGGCCCAGACCCAGGAGGATTGGCCTCCTATCTGCCAATCCAAAATATGAGGCCAGTTTGCAAGAAGGAAGTGGATGATGAAATTTTGCAAGCCAAAAATAAGCTAACTAGAATTGAAGGATTCTCAGAGATCAGAGCAGTATCACACAGCCTCAATGCCATAGGAATGCCTTTGAGCAAATTCTTTTTGGACCCAGCTGTAAAATGGAGAAGACTTCAAGAATTTGAGCATAGGGTTTTTGAAAATGGCAGGTGGTTTGTTGTGAATGCCAGGACTGGCACCAAGACCTTGCAACTCCCAGAAGGTTTTAATATTTCAAAAACACCAGTCCTTGTTTCATTGAGTGATCAAGGAGGAATCAACAGAGCTGGGTTGGACTATTTAGTCTTCAAGTTGGGCATGGCACTCCATGTGGCATTTGACCCATACCACAAGAGCTGGAACGACCTCAAACACAGTATGAGAGCTGCTAAAGGTGATCTCTTCAAATGTGTTCTTTCATACAGCCTCCTATATAACATAAACTATGGCCCTTTTGGGTCAAAAAGTTGGCACCAAAAAAACAACAAAGAGCCACTGAAGTACTTGAGTCCTCATCACCCCATGCTGAACCATTCCTTTCCTATATCCCATATATATGTGCTGAGAGGGGGGTCAAAGAACCCACCACAGCAGGTGAGAGGGAAAGATTGCTCCAAAGCATTGGTGAAATGAATTCTGTGAAATCACTTGGACCAGTTGTAAAGCTGATGAGATTTTATTCCTTCTTTCAGAGTGAAAAAATTTATCATGGGGAAGTGTGGATGACAAAGTTTTTGATGTTGGAAGGTTCAAAGTATACTGTGACAGATGGGGCTGACTGGGTAAAGACAGAAACTTCAGATACTTCCATGTCAATCCCTGATGGCCCCAAGACAACTGACAGGGAGCAATTACAAAAGTTAAAAAGCACCCATGGGTCTTGGGCTTTAGCCCCCTTACTTGTCACCCCAGAGTCTTTCTGGCAAAAAAATGCCATTGTAGTTCTTGCCAAAGCTTGTTGGTCAGCTCATGCCTGGACGTCAGAAAACCTTCTGACACCTGCCCAGTGTGCAGAATACACCATCTCCCAAAGCCAAGGTGGATGGAAGAATGAAGTGTTGCAGCTGGTGCTAGATGGCTTTTTGTCTACCACCACTTTGAAAAAACTGTACCCTTTTCAAAGCACATCAGAGTCCACAAAGAAGTTCAGGCTGGGAATCCACTTTGATTTTCTAGTCACTCTGATGGCTAAGAGAGCAAGTAGCTTGGCATCTCAATTCCTGAGACCACCCCTCAGATACAGTGCCTTAGCTTCCAGCAATGAAGACCAGGTGAAAGATGCCCAGATAAAAATGCTGGATGAATGGAATCTTCTTTTGGAGGCTGAGCAAAAGGATCTTGAAGGAACCCATGTGAGGGCTTTGGGCTCCTTGCAATTTCTCAATGGTGCTGTGTGTAGGCTTGCGTTTTTGCTGAATGAACAAGATTGCCATTGTCACTCCCATGAAGCTTCTATTTTGATCAGGTCATTGATCACCAATTTCATGGACACCCTTTGTGTTGAGAATACCCACCAGTCAGCAAAGGATTGTCTCAGAGACAGTAGGCACAATGTCAGATCTAGGGTGCACAAAATGGGTGCTGTAATTGACAGCAGGCTTTTCCAAACCAGGAAGACAAACCATGTGGCTGTGAGTGAGGTAGAGGTCAGCTTGGCATCCCCCAAAGGTTTGCCCGCATTTGCACCCCTCACACATCCCAATTCTCATTATATGCAAAGCCAGTTCCAGAAAATGATGCTATACAAAAGTGGGGACCACTGGTGGCCATCCACCTCTGCAGCAACTCAATTTGAAGAAGTGGCAGCTTTGGAGCAAGTTCTAAGCTCAAGTGATGCCCACCAGCAGCTCCACTTGAATTGTTTGGCTGGTCCACCAGGGACCCTGATTGCATCCAGTTCCAAAGGTGTGGTGTGCATTGTGCTTTGCAAGGCACCCAGTGGTGTTCTGACTTGGACTGTGGAACCCCTAGGAGGGGGTGAAGGTGCAACATACAAATGCATTGCTCAAGCAACAGCACTGCAATTCCATCACATAAGCACTTTAGATGAGTGGGTGGAGATCCCATGCCAGCCTGTACTGCAGCATGACCATGGATGCTTACTTTTAGCAAAAAATGGGCCAGAAATGAGCTTACCACTGGCCAGAGTCAAGCAAGGCTTGACCATGACAGTCAAGGAATGCAAGGAGGTCCTTGCAGCATGTGACATCAAACTACCTGGGCAGCCTAGCAAAGCTGAGGTGTACAAAGCAGTGGTTGGACAGTTCATTACAGACCCTGCTGAAGCCCAGGAGGCTTTGGCAAAAACCAATGTAAACATGGATGAGCAAAATGATGAGGCTGATTCTGAGTTAGCTGATTACCAAGACCTCCTTGACCTTGTGGAGGAAGATGCAGAAAACCGAGGGGACCCAGACATCAAAGCTGAGCAGAAAAAGGTGCAAAAAAAAAGGATGAGCAAACCCAAGGCAAAAGCCAAAGCTGCCAACCCTGATAACCTTTTGCTAGGGCCACCCAAAAAGGGTAAAGGCAGGGGAAAGGGAAGGGGCAGGGGGAGGGGCAAAGGAAAAGGAAGAGGTAGATTTGGAAGGAGAAATGCATTACCTTTGCCTGACCAGCCAGCAGAAACAGCTGAGCCACCAGCTGAGCTCAGTATTGCAGAAACAGCTGAGCCACCACCTGAGCTCAGCATTGCAGAAGCAGCTGAGCCGCCACCTGAGCTCAGCATTGCAGAAACAGCTGAGCCACCACCTGACCTCAGCATTGCAGAAGCAGCTGAGCCACCACCTGAGCTCAGCATTGCAGAAACAGCTGAGCCACCACCTGACCTCAGCATTGCAGAAACAGCTGAGCCACCACCTGACCTCAGCATTGCAGAAGCAGCCGAGCCATCACCTGAGCTCAGCATGGCAGAAACAGCTGAGCCACCACCTGAGCTCAGCATGGCAGAAGCAGCTGAGCCACCACCTGAGCTCAGCATTGCAGAAACAGCTGAGCCACCACCTGACCTCAGCATTGCAGAAGCAGCTGAGCCACCACCTGAGCTGAGCATTGCAGAAACAGCTGAGCCACCACCTGACCTCAGCATTGCAGAAGCAGCTGAGCCACCACCTGACCTCAGCATTGCAGAAGCAGCTGAGCCACCTGCTGAGCCCAGCATTGCAGAAGCAGCACCTGAGCCCAGCATTGCAGATAGACCCATCAGTCCAGAAGCAGCAGCTGAAGCACCAGAGGCATCAGAAGAGCATCCAGCCCAAGCAGCTAGCAGCACAAGGGCCAGTAGCAGCAGAGGCCCAAAACAGTTTTATACACCTAGCATCTTGCAACAGATCAGCCCACCTGGTTGTAGCATCAGGCTCAATGGACCCTAGGCAGCAACCAGCAGGTAGACAGTACTGCCAGTCTTGTGAAGCAGGGCTGCCAGAATGACACATTGCAGTTTTTTATGGTTTCAAGAGGTGAGAATGTCTTATCCCTACTCAATTTTGGTTTGTATCTTTTTGAGTTTTTGCAGTTTAGAGGCATGTGTGACAACACATGCAATGTTTTCCAAGCACATGTTTGCCAGGAATATTCACACGAGTAGATGCATGTGCATGCTCACCATGGTTACCTGGTTGTTGGGCACTGTTGGCTTTGATCTGTTGTTTAAAAGTGGTTCCCAGTGGCTTGCTCTAAGGCAATGACCACAGATTCACAGCTGCCTGGGCACCTTTGGCTATTTCCAGCACTTCCAGGTCATTCAATTCCAAAGATTCAGAGAATTGGCAGGCCAAACTGGCTGAAGTGCATAGAATTGCCTGGAACACTTGGCAAAGAGAGTTGCCCATGAAAGGTTTGTACAAACTCCCTGCTGCTGAGCAGCAAAAGCCTGGAGTCATCTCTGATCGAATTTTTAGATCATTAGAAGATGATGTGACAGCACTTCCACCCAAGAACAAGTACCACAAGGTGAAGAAATGAGAAGAGAAAAAAATGGATCAGGGGGAGAGAGCTGGGCTGATGAGTTGGAAGAGTTGATGTTCATCCTGTTTGCTACAGCATGGTAGTGATACACTTGAATATACATATAATATACATATACACATACATGCATATACATATACATATACATACCCATATGCATGTACATATATATATATTATGTATTGCAAATAATATGTAAATAATATACGTTTACATATACATTGCATATATATATACATAATATTCATATACACATTTACATATACATATACATATATACATATACATATACATATACATATACATATACATTTAATACATATGCATATGATCATGCACATGCACATGCATATGCCATGCCATTGCACATGATGACATGCATACATACATCTACATTGAGTTGTTTTAATTTGTTTTAATGTGTTTTAATGTGTTTTAATTTGTTTTAATGTTTTTTTATTTAATTTTATTTTTATTTAATTATTTCATATTATTTCTAATTTTTCCATATTTTTTTCAATGTGATTACACCTGGCTGATGAATGGCCCTATGGTGCAGTACCCACTCCTGATGAATGAGTCATTCCCAGAGGGTACTACTTCTAATTCAGTGTTGGGATTTGGAGAATCCCCAAGCGTATGGTGGCAATAGAGAGAATCCCCAAGTTGTAGATGGCTTCAACACGCATTTTCCATGTGGACATACTTCGGCCATGTTCGATTTCCAAAAACATCTATAGCTATTGAACATGGCCCATTTATAGTGGAGTTACCCAGCTGTAAAATGGTGATTTTCCATAGTTATGTGAACGTTTACCAGAGGGTATCTAGTGTGGCGAAGCCATCAATAAATCAACCATCTCCAAGTTTGCCATAAGCAGGTGGTCAGAACCATCAAGAAACCATTGAAAAAGCTAAACTGGATCAAGTTTACCACACAGTTTTTATTCTTGGCAAACTGCCCATTTTGCCCGGTAATTTAACATAGCTATGGAAATCCATGGAACATCACCACTTTTTGACTTCGGTAAATCATAAATCATCCATGGCTTCATCACCCATGGCTTCCAGTTCGCTACGAGGTATCCATCCCAGCTGCCCGAAGACCTCGTGGAACTGCTGCGGGAACTCACACGCAAAGTCGCGACTCGGCAGTCCTGGACCCATGGTCCCATGGTCCCATGGTCCCATGGCGGACCCATGGGGCCATCGGGACCCCAAATTTTTCTCTGGTTGGTGGTTTGGAACATGAATTTTATTTTCCATAATATATATATATATATGGGATGTCATCCTTCCCATTGACTTTCACTCCATGATTTTTCAAGATGGTTATTGCACCACCACCAGTTGTGGTGTTTTTTCATAGAATTTTTCATTGAAATATGGCCATGATGAAAACGGGCTGGGCACACTGGGCGCAGTTTAAGGTGTGGCTTGGCAGGATGGGGAATCCACAGAATGGTCAGGTCCTAGCGTGTCCTGGGCTGCATTCCGTCTTCTGCTTTGAGGCCTGGGGAGATGCGGGTTGAGAATATCCTCGGGATTTTTCAACCGAATTCATTCAGTTTTTTTGCTGTTTTTCAAGGGTTTGAAGACATTTTCTTGGTGGTTAAGCAGGTAATTCTAACCCGCCAAAAAGGTGAGGTTTACAGAGGAAGTATGAAGAAGCCTGTTTTGGCAACATTGGAAGACCATTGGAGGCTGAAATCGATGGATTTTTGGACCCATAAGACCCATGCCATCCTTCCTGACAGGCCTTGATCAACCCTGAAAGCAAGGCTGGGAAACGTGGTGAAGCGGTCACATATCTTTTGGGTGGATTTTTATTGACCATTCTTTTATTTAGAGGATTTTAGAGGTTACATGTGGGCGGTTTTTCAAAAGTCTTCAGATTAGGCTCTTCCATCCCTGGTAGAAAGAATTCACCAAACTGGGCTTTGACTTGACGAATATGATATTTGTTGCTGAACATATCACTTGTTAACAATGGATTATCCGTGGAGTTATGTTCGTTGTTTTCTATTTCACCAGCAATAAGATCTTAGTCAATATCATTGTGAATTGTACTAACGCAATCCACTTTGTCTGGGATCAAATCCACCTGTTAAGCCATCTTCAATGGTTAGCCGTAAAGAAAGATAGCCACGGAAAGTGGTCCATTTACAGATGATGTACTTATAGATCATTTCATTTATGTACATATGATTTATATACTTATTATTGTTAGATTCTCATTATATAAAACCTCCATTTTCCAGGGGACTTTCCATTACCATGCTTGAGGACACCGCAGGGTATCTAGATAATTTACTTATGAAACAAATTCACCAAACAAATGGACCAGTTATAGATTATCCCCCAATAGCGATAGCTTGGGGTTGTTTACTTATTATATACACACACACACATATATATTTTTTTTTCCGAAGTGGACCACCTATCTATACACATCTACATATATATATATAGATTATTTACTAATTACGCTATCTCTCTCTCTCTATATATATATATATCTATACATATTATATATATATACATATCTATATATATGGGTAATGCAAACCCTTTGCATGCACTAACAAATGGCCCCGTGTCTCAACTGGTGGGATGGTAACCCCTTGTCTAAACTGAGCCTGTGGTGGCCATTTTGGATCAAGGCTTGCCACCACAGGGTCCCCCCATTTAATAGGGTTCGTGTACCCTGTGTTTCCATGGCATTGGCTTTGTTGACTGCCGGGGAACTGGAAGCCATCACTACGGTGGCCCACGCCCGTGCATGGTCGGGATTGCCTGACGCCGTGTGGCAAGCCGTGGACACTTGCTTGGGTGGAGTCAACCATCTAAGAGTCCTGGCATTTATCCCTACACTGGCCCTGCGCACAGCGTTGCGGACAGCGCGAGTGCCCACCCCCGTTGGCGACCCAGCGGATGCCCACTACATCCCAGCGGGAGAAAGGGACTTCACTGCGGTGGAGGGCACCCAGGTGGGTTGATGTGTCAGGTGGCGCTGGCGAAGCTAGGAAGACCACCAATCGATCCACTGGTGGAACCCACACCACCAGCGGCCCCTCCAGGGGGGGGAGGCGCCGGGCACCAACCAGCCGGCACACCGGCAGGGAATCCTGCACGGAAAGTTAAGAACAGCCAGGTACTAGACCAAGCAGACGAAGGGGAGATCCCGGAGCTAAGCCAGACGTCAGTGGAGGAGCATTTCAAAGCCTTGCGGAAAGCCAAGGGGGGGCCGGTGCGGCCGGAAGCCGAGCCATCCCCGGATCAAATATCGGCAATGAAAGTTAGGGTCTTGGACTTGGACTTGCCGCCCTATGCGGACTTCGCCATCTTCGTCAATTTCCAGGGACGCTTCTCCAGGACCTTGAAGTTTTTGAATCATATCCTCCAGCCGGATGGCACCTTCAAGGCCGTGGAAGTGCCGGGCCCCCCCAGTTATGATGCGTGGCTTTCTTCATGGCGCGTCTATGAGAACACGCTACTTATGCTGGAGAAGGATGTGGGAGGCAACAAGGTGCCTGTGGCTACGGTGGCGGCCATGGAAGCCTACAAGGATGCTTTCCGGGACCTGGTCGTGTGTTACCCAGAGGCATGGCATCTCCTAGTGGTGGCGGAAGACCGTTGCCGAGGAGAGCATTTTGTTCGCCTCAGGCGCGAGCTGGAAGAGAAGCACGCGCGGGGGTTGACGCACGACTACGACCCGGAACAACCGTTGAACGAGGTGTTCCGAGCAGCCTCCAATGATCGAGAGTTCTGGGACAGGCACGTCCGGGAACCAGCCCTTCTGTTCCGTACAGGAGGAAAACACCGGGACCAACCCGGAGGCACTCCAGAAGAGCCCACCGAAGAAAAAGAGGAAATCCCAGAAGGAGCGGCTTAAGGCCCAACTGGCGAAAGCCAGGGAAGGAAGGGGCTCCTCCGCAGCCGAAGTGTCGAGTCATGGCGGACCCCAGCCGCCGGCAGGGGCAAAGGGGAAAGGCCGCGGCCCGAAGCGCGACGGGCGCGGTCGGTTCCTCACTGACCGGCAGGGCAAACCCATCTGTTTTGGTTTTAACAATGGGGAATGCAAAGGGGTATGCCCGAAGGGAATGACTCACGTATGCCAAGTATGCTTAGGTTCCCATCCCGCCAAGGACTGCGGGACAGGACACCAGGTTTGGCCATGACCTGACCCAGGACAATGAATTTCTCCAAGTCCTGGAGGGGCCAGCACCTGATTGGCGACACATGGCGCCCCCGTGCCGCACCTTCACCAAAGCTAGGCGAACGGACTGCCACGGGAGCTCTCAAGTGTTGAGGACCGAAACCCGGCCGGAGGGATTCGGAGATCAGCAGACGGATGAGGCCAACATCATTGCTGATAGATGTGTAAGTTTGGCAGAAAACCAGATGGACGAAGGCAAGTGGTTCTCTCTCGAGAACCCGGAGCCTTCTTACATCTGGAACCTCGAATCTGTCAAACGCCTCCGCAACCGGCCAGGCGTCACGTTGGTTGGCTTGGACCAATGCGCATTCGGTGGCCCTTTCAAGAAGTCAACCGGAATTCTAACCAACTGCCCATGGCTGATGAGGCAGCCACGATGCGGGGACGCACCCAGGCACACCCACACCAAGTTAGAGGGCCGGATATGGTCATATAGGGAGAACAGGGAGGTGTGGATGACCGCCGAAGCGGCGGAGTACCGGACAGGTATGTGCGAAGCATGGGCAGAAGCATGGTTGGAGTGGCTGAAGACACACAAAGACAAGCCACACCCGGCGCGAGGAGTTGCTGCCGCCTCTAAAGGCATGACAGGGGCAGAACAGGAGTTCCAAAGAAGAAAAGGAACTCGAGGACGAGACGTACCCAGGTGGGATGCGCAATCCTCGCAAGGCAGTCACCGCGTCGGTAGGTTGGCGCACTTGGGGTGCACGAGCATCGGCGGCGCTTGATGAAGTCCTTAGGGGGCTGCCTGAGGCCATCACCTTAGCAGAAACCATAGGCACTGAAATGGCACAAGCCGACGCCGTGCAGGCCCGTGCAATTTTGGAAAAGATGGGCGACGCAGGTGCAGAAGCACTGGCCAAGATCACAAATGTGGGTCCGGAATGGCAAACGAAGGGTCCGACCCAGTGGCGGTGGAAATTGATGGAAGCCATCACTAACCAAGTCCAGGATCCGGACGTGGATGTGCCCAGATGGTTCGGAGGAGACACCCCATTGGGGATAAACTGCCCAATTACACCCAGGGGCATTTTCCCGCCGTCTCCACCAACAAAAGCTCAGCGCGACAGCGCCGAAGATTGGGCACTGAGGGGCGGACAGGTCGAGGTGGACAGGAACTACAAATCCTTCCACGACAACGAAGCGGAGTCTACGGAAGAGCTCAAACGCTTGGTTGAGGAAGGGCATCTGGAAATTATTGGACCATGGTCCCAGGTGGCAGCCAGGTGGCCCAAGGCGGTAGGAACCAAGCTGGCCACATTGGTCAAGGTCAAAGCTGATGGTTCCACAAAAACCAGATTCGTGGCTGACATGCGCCGGTCTGGAGTAAATGGGCTCGCAAAGGCTGATGAGCGCATTATACTTCCCAGAGGGAGCGATCTGATCAGAGACACCCTGGATATCATGGAAGTTAGTGGGCCAGAGATTGAATACTTCTCAGCAGATATAATACGGCTCTTATCGGGGGGTCCCTTTCGGACTGGCAACGGCACCACTGGTGGGGGCGCTCGGCCGCATGGCTGGGCCGAGCAACCCAAGCCGTATTAGGGCCCTGGGAAGGGCGTGCCCAGGTCTACGTGGACGACCCCATTGTGGCCTTGAGCGGCCCCCGAAACCACAAAAGCCACTTGATAGCAAAGATCCTGACACTATGGAGTTCCCTAGGAGCACGGGTGGCCCTGCACAAAGCCTCCAGGGGACCCAAGGTGAAGTGGATCGGCGCCCAGTTCAGGGTCTTTCCTGGCGGGGTGGAGGTGTCCATTGACCGCGAGAGAATTGACAAACTCCTGAAGGTAACCCAGCAAGGGTTGGGACACCAAGGATTGGTGTACAATGTCAGGAGTCTCGCAGGGGAACTGAGCTGGGTGGCCGGCATCATCCCAGCCATCAGGCCCTTTGTTAACATGGTTTGGGCTGCCACCTACGCAATGGACAAGCAACCTGAACAGGGTGCGTCTAAGACCACTCCAAGAAGGCGGCCGCAGGATGCAGTTTTTGCCAAGATGGTGAGGCTGCCTTTCAAGTGGCTAAGGCTGTTTCTCCAGGGACATGTTGGGGGCCTCACCCGCAGAAGGCTGCTATGGGACAGGTATGCTTCAACCCAATGGGCCATCCGGACAGACGCTTCAACCACCGGATTGGGAGGCATTTTGTTAGATGCCAATGGACGCCCGACCAGGTGGTGGGCCTGCCCCCTACCCGACCGCGCCCTCCAGCACTTGAACATCGAGCCAGGAGTCCCCGGGCTCATGACGGTCTACGAACTCCTGGCTTTGCTCTTTTCGGTTATCATCTGGGGGGACCGCGTTCGGAACTGTCGATTAGGCATCGCCGCCCAACTAGACAGCGAATCCGCACTGCGGATTGCTGTCAAGCTAGCCTCTCCCAACCCAAAAGCAAACTTGGTAGCTGCAGAGCTGGCACTAAGAACAGAACAGCTCGGGTTGGATACTATCCTCGGCCAGCATTGGCGCAACACCATTAATTTGGAAGCCGACGCCCTATCAAGGCTCGCAGAAGGCAAGACAGTCCCAGCTCGACTGCAGCCACTTCCCCGAGACCAGCTACCACATGGACATTTGTTCCTCCTGGGGAACCCCCTTTCGGACCCTTGGCTGACACTGGCGTCGTCCGCGTGTGGGCTAATTAGGGTTCTGGGATGCCGCCTTTGGCTGGGGTCCGGTTGTTTTCATACTCACAGGTACCTAATGTAGGGGCTTTCAAAAAAAAAGAGAAGGTTTCATCTTGATAGGTTTCTGTTACCCCCCCTCACCACCCCACATGTATCTCCGACCCCTCCGTAGCCCTCTGGCTCAATGCTGATCACGATCAGCTGCGCCCTCACAGGGCACATCCCACCAGCACTCCTGGTGGACTGCACCATTACAGGAGTGTTACTCCGCATACTCTGCGGATGTTGCTGCGCCGCGCAACTAAGTGAGCAGTGGGCCTCACCGCCCACCAAGTCCGGCACGCCTACCGGAACAAAACAAGGTCGCGACCGGGTCAAGAGGCCAAGGAGAAGCGACCAGAACCGTCCACAACGGACAGGACAAAACCCGCCGGCGGGTGGGAGACGACAGGACAGTGCCCCACGCACGGAGCCCGGGCCTGCGGGTGGACCACAAGTCACGTACACGTCGGCCAGACCGGGGATGGCCGAGCGGGGAAGGCACGCCTTTGCCTCCCTGGACATCCGTGCACGGAGACCACTCACACCCCGGGAGTGGATGGAACCCGACGGCTCTGGGCCTTGGACTGGGTCATGACAAAGAAGGGCCTACTTCAGTATCTGGGTCTGGCCCCGCTCTCCCACAGCGGGGAAGGCGAGACGGAGGACACAACAGACCCTCAGGAACCGGGAGCCGAGCCAGAGACGGCGCCGGACCGGCACCGATCCAGGCGGAGCCGGAGAGAGGGAGAGGACCGGAGGGAAGGGTCCCCGCCCCCACCAGAGAGAGACCACGGAACAGACTACGGGTTGCCTGACAGCGCACCAATAGCGGGAAGGGAGGCGTGAGGGCGCTCGACCACAGTATCACCCTCGACCACGCAACCGTGGTCACGCGCCCTGTGGGGAGTGAGGGGGCCACTACCGGGTAGGCATAATATGCCTGGTACCGGGCAGGGCTGGAACCATCCGCCCGCCAGACAGAAAGATCAGGCTCTGCGCCACACCCCTTGTGAAGAATGTACCCGCTGGGTAGGTGGAGCGCCCATGTGTGCATGCTGCGCACAAAGAACAGAGGTGCGCGGATCGTCTCTGACCGGTGCGGGAAGGCTCCCGGCACCGGATGATGCGCTTGCCCGAAGACAGGCAGAGGCAAGGCCTCGACAGGCCAGCGCCGGGCCGCCGCCCGCCGCGCGTGGTGAAGGACCACGGCCCGTAGCTGCCAAGGCGCGGGACCTTACCCCACGGGAAGGACCGGCGCGCGCAGCTTCCCCGGCTCGCAGACGCAGCCGCACCCCGCTCAGGGCGGAGGAAGAGGGACCGTCCGGCAGCGGAGAGAGACGCAGGAGGGTGGACGGTGCTTCACGCCGAACACCACCCACCCGGACGGAGCACGGGCGCGCCGGGGCCGGGGCTGAAAGTCGTGAGAAGGAAGCCCAGGAAGAATATGAGTATTATTCAGAGGACGAGGAAGAGGAGGAAGAGACTTGCCCGGACCGTGAGGAAGAAGATGACCGCTGGGAATCAGGCAGGCGGCCCCCACCTGAACCCCCACTACCCCAAGGGGGAATTGGGACTGGAGTACCTGCGACGTCAGGGGATGTGGACGCCCGGCCCGTGGAGGGGATAGTGTATGCTGCGATCCATGCGTCAGGACGCATGGCCGGGATCACACCTACAACTGTAATATGAGGGCACGGAGTGCCGCCCCCAGCGGAGGGCCGGAAGGAAAGGGAGGAGGACGCGGCAAACCCGGAGGGCGGGGACCGGCCCGGAAAGGGTAACCGGCGGAAGAAGCCGGGCAAGGCCCTCCGGGACCGCGAACGAAACATGTACCGGCAGGGAGCCGGGAAGGGAGGAAGGAGCAGAGGTTTCCAGACATCTGCGTACCAAAGGGCTCTATAGGCCTCGGAACGGCAGCCGCAACCGTCAGATCCGTCAGGTCGCAAACCTCCCGACTCAAAACATGGAGACAAGGCCTTACGGGAGCTGGAGAGGCGAGGCCTGGTCACCGTACCGGACGATATCAGGCAGTTGAGTCCGGAAACGGCCCGGGCGGGGTTGCATGCCTGAGAGCACGCGGATACAGGTCGGCCGAGCTGTATCTCAGCTCCGCAATGACCAGGCACCGGAGCCTGTACGCGGTGACCCACCCGCTACAGAGCGCGCAGCAGGAGGCCATCAGGATCAGCAGGCGAGGAGTGGGCCCGGCACGAGGCAAACAGCCCATTCCGATGCCCTCGCCACATGCCCACCAGTTCGAGCCTCTATAGCGGTGGGTATCTGGTTCCTGCTCAGGGTCTCAGAGCTAACAGCGCTGAACGTGGAAGACGTGTGCCAAAGGCAAGGAGCACGCCTCCAAGCGGGGCTGTGGATCAACCGCTCCAAGACCGACCAGGAAGAGGTCGGAGTCCTGGTTAGCCGCGACTGTGTGTGCGAAGACCCTGCCGCTGCCCCGTGGTGCCCAGCACACTTGCTATGGAAGGTCGTCTGTAGCAGGAAAGATATGATGCACAAAATGGGCACCGTGTCGGGAAAGGCGCCGCTGTTCACCGACGCGGAGGGCAAAAGACTCACGGCGAGCGGGGTAAAAAAGCAGTGCGGATGACAGCCGAGGGAGCAGGCCTGCCCCATGGGGCATGGCTCCACGGAACGCACTCCCTGAGGGTCACGGGAGCAATCCTCGGCTTTGCGGCAAATCTCTCAGAGGAGGAGGTGCGGGCCTTAGGCCGCTGGACCAGCACAAAGGCCATGAAGAACTACCTAAGGGGCACGCCAGTAGTGAAGTCTTCGGCGGCCTCCATCCCGATGGCAAATCCCCTCATGCAGGGGGTCGTGCGGGACCTTACCAGTGCCCACTTCCGCAGGGCGCTGGATATGACACCGGAGCCGGAGCAGGGCCCGGAGAAGCCAGCCGGACCCGAGGGACTGCTGGCGGTGCGACACAACCTGACGGGAGTGCTGCATCGAGCCGGCAGCATGGCCGGACCACCACAGACATATTGGTGCGGATGGAAATGGGCGGCCGCGGGATGCGCGGGAGCCTTCACTACGTCCGATGGCACCCCGTGCAGCAGGTGCTGTGACGTGACAAAGTGATGGCCGCGGAGTGACACTCCATATGAGGGAAATGGATGCGACCCGGCTTGGTTTATGTGATGTTGGTAATATCCCAGATAAACCACATCCACTGGGTAGGGAATTCCAACCCCCCCTGCGGTTTTCCACTGTTGGTTGCCTCTCAGCTAGGGTTTTGAGGGGACCACGGGTGTACCGGGTTGGGGGTTTGCTTTCCCCATCTTAATGTTAAGTTAAAAGAGATACCCCCAATGAAAGGTAGGCCAATCGCCATCAGCCCAGGAAGCCTGATGGATCGGAGAAGACCAAACATCCAGCAGCGCTCGTCTGACAAAAAGACTGAAAGAGCTGCTGCGTGAAACACCGGGCGGCTGGGTGGGGTGTTTCTGTTGTGACTGGGTGACATTTGTTGGATAATGCAAACCCTTTGCATGCACTAACAAATGGCCCGGTGTCTCAACTGGTGGGATAGTAACCCCTTGTCTAAACTGAGCCTGTGGTGGCCATTTTGGATCAAGGCTTGCCACCACAGGGTCCCCCGATTTAATAGGGTTCGTGTACCCTGTGTTTCCCCCACCCTCCTCAACCCAATGGAAACTCAGGGATAACCCTATTCTGAGGGAAATGGATGCGACCCGGCTTGGTTTATGTGGTGTTGGTAATATCCCAGATAAACCACATCCACTGGGTAGGGAATTCCAAACTCCCCTGCGGTTTTCCACTGTTGGTTGCCTCTCAGCTAGGGTTGTGAGGGGACCACGGGTGTACCGGGTTGGGGGTTTGCTTTCCCCATCTTAATGTTAAGTTAAAAGAGATACCCCCAATGAAAGGTAGGCCAATCGCCATCAGCCCAGGAAGCCTGATGGATCGGAGAAGACCAAACATCCAGCAGCGCTCGTCTGACAAAAAGACTGAAAGAGCTGCTGCGTGAAACACCGGGCGGCTGGGTGGGGTGTTTCTGTTGTGACTGGGTGACATTTGTTATATCTATCTATCTATATATATATATATCTATCTATCTATATATATATATATATATCTATCTATATATATATATATAAATCTATATATATATATATATATGTATCTCTATCTATCTATCTATCTATCTATCTATTTATCTATATATATATATATATATACATACTTACTATTTACATATAGACATAATTTCATGGAGGGTAACCCAATTTTCACCCTATCCGTGGCTCGGGCGTTTTGAAGGAGGTGATGCCCGTCGAGCTGAACTTACGCCCCGGTGGGGCTGAGTGCCCCTGTGGGGTGGAGGCGACGTATCGCGACGTAGCGACGTATGGCAAGATCTATACGTTCTGTGCATAGTATAAACATAGTGAGATATATCATGTAATATGAACAGCACACAATATAATATCAACATGATATATATATACTATATATATATACTATATATATATATACACTATATATATACACATACAGAGATTGTAGCGGATATAGATATATTACAGAATCTAGCCGTAAATGTACCATATTTGTTGTGTATTTGACTCACTTAGAAAAGGGGCATTGTTCTCAGGACTATTGGCTTAGAAAACGGATGCATATTTTATTGACCATCAAAGGCAGAAAGGACATCTTAACGACGCGGGGAAAATTGACTCTTTTTGCTTGGGTGAGGTTGGGGAGGAATGGTCTGGGGGAATAGCGTTTATGTTGACTTGCGGATGCAACTGACACTACACTCTCAACTTCTTCAAGTAACGTCCGACACACTCTTGATGCTACGCGCCTACCTTCAAGTAACTTCCAGCACACCTTTGATGCGACGCTCTTAACTTCTTGAATTAACCTGCCTTCTTTTGCTAAGACAATCAAAAAAGAGGAAAGGCAATTACCGCCGGTCTTAAACATATTGAAACATATTGATAGAATGTGGGGTGTCCGTTAGAAACTTGAGGTGCTTTCATTCCTCGCAGTATCAACCACAAATCAGCTATGATTCATACGTCAGATCAACTTTCCTATCAGCAGATGGGTTCCTCCAAGCTTTCGCGATTTTCTAGGATGTCATGTGATAATTTATGTAATGTGGGTAAAACAATGCCATTTTTACCACCCATGACTAGGAATGGGAAACATACCACCTATTTAAAATGATTTGGGGGATGGTTTACTATTGTTTTACCCACATTATTAGCATGTCAAATATGTTCTTTAATTTGTACATTGTTTCTTTGAATACATCATGTGATATTCTTCGAAGACAGCGACACATATTTTGAGAATAACACCCTTTGATGTAGGCAGCTCTCCCCTGGAAAGTATTATAATTTGAAGGATGTGCATCTTTGAGTCCTAAGACAAACATCGCTTGAACATATAATCACATATGATAGATTATGATAGTATATTGCATGCATGCAGCACTCTTTTGAAAGGGTATAGTCGTCCTTGAAGAATATGTTGTCAAAATTTGTGCAACATCCCCTTAACATGAGTGAGATATTTGATTAAACGAATACATTATCTTTGGATAGCACTGAAAACATTTCTTTAAGTGAGGGTTGTCTCTTTAAACAAGAGTAAATGAAGGCTGGGCTGATCAAGGGGAATAGTACATATGTCAAGCAAGAGTCATCCAGTTTTCCAACAATGCTGCTTCATAAGAAGATTGAGTTGCCATACAGGACAATGTTGTAAGACACGAAGAGCATTCTTTGATGTTGCTCACATGTTCAATCATATTGAACTTTTGAGAGGGATTCTCTATGTCAAAATTACTGCATGTAGTGCAGACATATTGCTGTTTCTAAAAGGAACATTGCTTTTTTAAAGGAGACATGTGGGAATACACACTGCACTGCTGAAAAGGGCATGGTGTATCTTCTAAAGGAATGCTTCATATTTTGTGGGGATATTGTTCTTGCAAAAACACACTGCATTGCTCCGAAGGAAGATTACACTTATTAAGAGCGGTATGCTGCATTTCTGTTTTACATACTGCATTTGTTGGCAGGTATGGGGATGTTGTAACTACTGTATGTTGAAGATATCTAGCAGCATCTAGCATATTCTGCAGACATTGTGTTTAGTTAAAGGGACACTGTAGCATTTATCCAAGGTGGAGTGAACACCTGGACACTTCTTCAAGCAAAACATACTCTCTAGTGGACATGAACACATCTTCATTTGTAGTTTAAGCTTCAACAATTGATTACAGTTTTGAAGAAACAATGAAAAAGCGCACTCTCACAGCGTCCTGCTCTCTATTTTTATACCTGTAGGAGGGGGTAAACAACCAAACTGCTAGGATGACGCAAGCGATGATCACGGTGGCTCCAATCGCACCCCATTTGTCCCCGGGACGCCGGCAATCTGGAACTTGTTACGTGTTTCTATTCTCCTGCCGGTTTGCCTCTATGTTCTTGTTTGCATGCGTAGCAACTGTGCAGGTCCAGCGTGGTATTTGCCGGCCTGCGTTTCACTCAGCCCAAGTGAGTATAGCCTTATATGATTATAAAACCTGCAGGCGTTCATGTTTAGCATCACGCCGATAATCCTAACAACTTTTCCCCTTTTGCGATTGGCGCTGGAGCAGGAGGATGCAGCACCCATTTCGCCGGTTAAGGTGCGCTGGCATGCTGCAGCCATGGTACTCCACTATATTTTTTCACCTGTAGCAGGGGTTAAACACACGAACTGCAAGGATGATGCGAAAAATGATCACGGCGGATCAGGCTGCGCCCCCTCTGTGCCCGGAACTCGAGCAATCCGGAACATGACAGGGTGCTTTGATAGCACATGCCTAGCCAATGGGTCAGACGTGACTGGGTACCAATTCTATTAGCAGGCGGCTGCCTCGGGGATTCCTGCCTCGGGGATTCCTGGTTCCGCCAACATTGGGGCCTCAAATTGAATTTTCCTGCAGGAAACTTGCACAAGATAGCATTAAATGCTTGGATGCAGTATAGCGACTCCAGGAAATGGAACCCTTCATGGCCCCATGTTGTTGTCACGCGCGTTCCAAACTCTTGTCTTTTCATCGCTTTGTTCACCACCAACGTAGATCACCTTTCCGAGCACTGACATGTTTCGTTGCGGGCGCTCCTGTTTCTTGTTCTGAAACCAGATGACATGCCATCTCCCCGTTTGAAGGCATCTTCTTTCGTTGTTTGTGGGTTGCAGCTGTGCGCTTTGACGACTACAAGGCAGCGCTGCATCATGTGATTACCTCGTTGCATTGCATCTACATGTCTATCTGTCCATTCATCCACTCATGCGTCTGTGCGTCCCTGGAGAAATCGCATCATTTCCTTTCTACCTTATTATTCATGTATGCAATGTCATGTCATCCAGTCCAATATAAACTTAATAATGGCGTCAACGCTATGTATTTTGCCTTCTTGTGGAGCTACCGTCTAGCCTGTGATCTTCCGGTTACTGGATGTAGAATCAAAGCTGTGCTTGCGCGAGCAACTTGGCAGGTTTCGACAACGGCGGGGTGCTTCCTCAGCGCAGTGCCCCATGCAGAAACATCGCTTATTCTCTGGGCATCTCTTTCTTTTTGTCTCTCTCTCGCCTTCTAAGCCCGTATCAAAATTCCAAGACAGGAGTATTCGCCAAATCGATGCCCTGTACGCCCATCAGCGTTCAGCTGAGGGCACCGGCTGTTGACAGAGGCAGGGTTGACCACCCAGTCACCACGCTCTACTCAGCAGATCCGGACATCATTTGAATTAGGGCGTGCCCGCAAGGAACCGCACGATGCACTGCACACCCTCTTGCCCCGAATCCCACTGGGCAAGGCTTGGCTTCCTTTGAATCAAGTCACCTTGTCGGCTGCTGCCGGCCACGTCATCCGTGACCGCACGTTTCACCCCAGGTGCCTGAATGGCCTTGCGGATCCTTTGGAACATATGGCACTGGACGAAGTTGACGGTGTCTTGTTCCACCGCTGGGCTAGCGTTCCAAATCTCCGATCGTGTGTACAGGGCGGAAATTTGGATGCACTAATTCAAGGAGCGCAGGGATTCCCCCGATCGAAGCCGAAGGAAATTAATGCAGTGGAAACAATAGAGATGACTAACCTCTACTGAGCCAGGGCAGCTGCAATTCAACTCAATTGACTCAGATCTAATCTCGTGCAAATGGTTTTTGATCGCATCACCTTGCAAGGCGACAGCCACATTCAAACTGGTGGAAGGTGGTCAACGCGCGGCAATTGCATTCACACAAAGCGGACGGCTCTATTGGAGCAGCTCTGGAAGATGGCGGCACGGGCCTCGGCAGCGGTCTGCGCTCGCCCACGTGCAACTACGTGCAAGTAATCCCTTTTTCCTATTGCTAAAACTTCACCAAATAAAAAACAGGATTGGTGTGGCACTTCCGTTTTTTTTGGTTGGGCACAGTTGGATTCTTAATTGTGGTAATTGAGAGTCAATAGGAGAACAGGATGGTGAAACAATGGGTTCAACCCCCTATTAATAAAAATAGATTGCCGCCTGGAGGATTTTTATTAGGGTCCCATCTCACAAGTTTTTTTTAATCATTAAGCTTCTTATTGGAATATTAGGGGAAAGCTTCGAAATCCAGTTTTTGGCAATATTCTAGCTATTGAGGGATTTAATCAAATTGAAATCGAGTTTTTCTTATTTTTATTAATGTTTTCAGTGGAATATACGGGAAAGCTTCGAAACCCAGTTTTTGGCAATATTTTATATAGATTTTAATAAAGGATTTAATAACATTTGAGATCGAGTTTTTTTAATTATTACGGTTTTCGTTTGAAATTGGGGGAAAGCTTCGAAATCCAGTTTTTGGCAATATTTCATTTAGATTTTAACAAGGGATTTAATCAAATTTGAAATCGAGTTGTTTATTTTTATCACTGGGTGTTCATTGGAATATCAGGGGCACCCTAATTCAAAATACAACCTAATATTAAAAATAGATCACCGTGTTTACCATTTCGGGGTGTGGGGGTTTTAGTAATAGGGAGAGAGGATTATTGGATTGTCTTGCGCCGGCTCAAACCCCAGCCCCATTGCCCCAACACGCCGTAGCATTTCAGCTTGCTTTGCTGTTCGCGCGGACAGCCAAGGCTGCGGATACGGGCGATGCAAAGCTGTGCCCGGAGTCGTTCCACCATATGTTCCGGCCACTGCTCTCAGAGCTGCAGGTGGGGTGAAGTTGGATCAATCGTACCGAAAGCAATGCAGAAATTTGACCGGGCCCCACCAAATTTTCCACAGCAAAGCCAGGCGCGGCTGCGCCAACAGTGCGCTGGATGCCGCACACTACGCGTTCTGCAGCTCAACAGCACAAGGCGACGTGCTGTTTCTATGTTTCTCTCTTGCACTTTTCTCCTGCCCGCAGCAAAAAATGTAGTCTTTTTGACGGGGCTAGTGGGTGCTTTCTGCCGTGCTGCCAGGATGAAGCAGCCAAGCGCTCGAATCAAAACCTTGATTGGCTGCCCGTTGAAAATGTCTTGAGCAGTTGGGCGCTCATATGTCACGTTACTTCAGCCCTGCAGTGCTGATTGCCGCCGCGCTGGCACCAATCCGGCAACACTTAGCCACTTGACCTGCCCAAGGAGTTTTCACTTTCAACGTGCGGCGCCGGCATTCTTTTGCGAGGATCGCAACCGGTATACCATCAAGAATATCATGGAAGAAGGCGCCGTCCCCTCAGGCAGTTTTGCATATCGGGTTGTGCGCCCTATCTTGCGCATGCATACATGCACGTAAAGCGCCTTTTGCAAGAAACATTTTGAATCATGTCACATCTTCTTGGTGCCCACGCGAAAACACCGAGCGCCTCTAATACAGACACAGCCTAGTTTGTTCATGACCATGGGTTTCAATCACTATTAATCAGCCAGTGTTTTTTCAAATCCGTTGTCCGAGTTGAATGGCCATCTTAGTCACCCTGGCAACGGGTCTGAGTCAAAAATGAGTACTGCTAAAATACGATGAAGCATCTGTGGTTGGGCCTTAAACTTTGACTCGTCGCCATTTTTCTCACTTCATATCAAATTGATGAATTATATCATGTTATATCTTATCAAATATCCCATGATTTCCCATCAAATAACTACATTTTTGTCCGTTAATTCACGCATCAACTCCCATGGCAACCACGGGGACAGCTGCCCTCCAGGCAGTCACGGGAATCTTCCTCCCCGTGGCAGCTGCGCGCTTGGCGCTGGGACAGCCGTTTCCATGGCCCGTGCACTGCGCACCCAAGGCGCGCCCCGTTGTTTGGACATGAGATGTTGTTTGGAAATGAGATGAGGATTGCTGCTGATGGTGATCCATACCCCAGGCAATATTATTGTAATCATCAGCGTACCATATTACATATTACATCCCAGTACAGTAGTGTGACCCACACCCATGAGTCATATTACTGGGCAGTTTCATCATTCAACTTCTTCTCCCCTCCACCAATGCCTTGACATGCAGGTCAAGGTGGCTGCATCCACCAATGAAGCTAGGCGTTGCGGATGGTGGAGACCCACAAAAGTGTTTTTTTACATGGGTATGGGTCAATACCTATAGATACATTTTTAGTGGGATGAACATCAATTTACCAGCTACTGTATTTTGGGGTTCACCAGGGGTACAAGGTTTTGACACATCCCCACATGATGATTCGAGAATCAATGATGATCAAATCCGAGATTTTGGGGGCGATCCCTTCCAATCAACCAATGAAAAAAAGAGGCGTTACTTCACCTCGATGGACCTTTCAGGAACAGCAAACCATTGACCAGGTCACCCATTTTTTTGGGCCATGACTTCGATGTTCCACAAGGCTGAATAGTTAGACAGTTGCATTGGGGTTACGAAGCAGTTGGTAAGTCTTTACTCCCATTTTGTGGGTTTCTGGTTGGGAACACCAACATGTCTGTGGATAAAACTACCCTTTGCCGGTCGCAACACCATTCCCACCGGACGAGTAGCTGCATGGCGGCGGCCGGCCCAGCCAAGGAATATGCCAGTCACGCTGGCATTGTGGAAGCCTGTGAAGGGTCAGAGGAGCCAATAGCACTCAGGGCAAGGCCCATCCCACTGTTCTTGGATGATCCCTGACCTTTGTACAATTTTGTACATGGATGGTTGTTCCTCTAACCAATTGGAATTGGACATGTGTTGTGACCCATTTACTTCACTGGATGCCAGCTCAACCAACCTGAAGCAAGAAACATGGGGATCCCAAGCACCAAACATTGGAGATTTGCCATCCTTAAAGTTTGGGGATAGCTACCTGCCATGTTAGATTTTGTTATATCTTGTTCAACAAATCTTTAGGAGATTGACCAACAAATGTGCAGTTGACGTAGTTCTTTCATGGAAGTTTCGGACAAACCACCTGATCTTGTTCAAAAAGAACCTCGAAGATCTTCAGTGGCTAGCCATTTCCAATGATGCTTCCAGGAGAACTAGAAAAAAATCTGAATAGTTAGGGAACAACCACCAAAATCCATTTTTTTCCCAATTTTCCCTATTTCAATGGCATTTTGGGAAGTTTTCCCAAACGGTATTTTCAGACAAAATTTGGATCCCTGTCCGAAGGAGCTGCATGCCGACCCAGATTTCCTTGGTGCGGGCTTCTTTGGAACCCAGGAGACAGGGTGGGACTAGGGCCTTCGACACTCCAAAATTGGATGTAGCAACACTGTCAAAGATAGAAAAGTATAGAAAAGTAACATGATTACCCTCCGGCAATCACACGTAGCAATGGGAAATCCATGATACATGGAGGTTTATAGCTGGGAAAATCATCTATAAATAGAATAAACAAGTAATATTGTTAAGCTGGTGGTACTAACTAACCATGAAAACTATGGATTCATTAGAAAATAATAATGGATTTGGAAAAAGGGAATTACCTTCTGGTGTCCTCAAATGTAGCAATGGGACATGCAATCATCTATAACTGGGAGATTTTCCAGCAAACCATGTTCTGGTTGGTGTTTTGGAGCATTTGGATTATTTTTCCATATATTGGGAATAATAACCCCAACTGACTTTCATATTTTTCAGAGGGGATGAAACCACCAACCAGATGTTTGATTACAGGAGGCTACTAAACTGGTGGTAAGTTCGAGGCTTACTCAAAACATGGAGTTTCAGTGCCCCAAAAAACGGGTGATGGAACCTTTGCAGGGATAAGAGCCACGCAAAATCAGTAAACTTAGAGAGATAAGACAACCAAGCAACAAGTTATGACTCAAGGCACTCAAATTGTGTGGTTTGGCTAGCTAAAAGGTGGGATGCAGTGAAGAATTTGGTGAGCAAAACACCATGTGATCCCCAATGTGATGATTTTGTATTTATGGAAAATGTAGGACCATTTGGCTTTTCCAATGCAATCATAATTTGGACAATGTTATTACATTTCCACTTTTTGTCCATTTATGGAAAAACAAGATCCGGGTGTGGACCCACCAAATTTTGTTGGTTGAAACTGCAACCCAATGTTTGTCAGCGAAATCGTCATTTTTTCTGGTCAAACGGTCAAACCTCCATTCTTCTTGGTTGCTGCACATCTTTATTTTTGTGGCTTAGTTTTGATTCAGAACAGAAATGATGTACCCCCAATCTAATAGCCAGGACCTTCCACGAACATTTCAGAAAACCAGATTTTGTTCAATCCCGATTTTTGCTGATTCCACATTCCTTGCCAATTCAATCGCCACATTTCTTTCTCATATTTCATCATATCTCATCATATGGCCTAACTTTCCTTCCCAATTTTCTTAATTTTCCCATACCCGCCTAGCTACAACCGCCATTTAGTTCGGCGATTTCCAAGCCAGCCATGTTTGATGACACCGTTGCGGGTATTTCATCCCATTGGCAAATATCAAACCAATTTGGTTAACTTATCCCATCAAATATCCCGGTGTTTATCTATTGCTGGCTGTGAACCCCCTATTTCATTAACGTGGTGAAAACAATGCCATTAACCATCTTCCAAATCACCATGTTTGTAGGTGGTATGTTTACCATTCCCTGTCATGGGTGGTTTATGACATTGTCTTATCCACATTAATGGTATATCTACCATGAACGTATGAATGGTATATCATGAAATATCCACTAAATCTAGTAGATAATCCATTAATGGTATGGTTTAATCACATGATATTTTTCCTAGCATGTTTCCACAGCTCTTCGGGTGGTGAACTCTGCAGGGTGCCACTTACGAGCCCATGCGCGGCGCTATGAGCTGCCTATGTTGGATTTGCGCGGGTGGTGGTGCCTTGGAACGAGATTTTCAGCGAACATGGGAATTTCAGGGGATTTTATGATTTTCAGGCCATTTTCGGATGATTTTCAGGTGATAACTGTGTGATTTTAGGTGAATTTCAAGTGATTTTCAGGTGATTTCAGGTGATTTTCAATGATTTTCTATGAGTCTATATGGATTATATACCCTAATTTATGGCAACTTGATAGCGAACATGTTGATTCACCATCACATTTTGGGCTACCCTATTTTCAGACTAATTATCTCAAGAGACATCTAATTTGTTTGAAGCACAAGCACAAACATGATGGTTTCCTGCCGCGATTGAGGTGATGCTTCTGAAGCCGCGGAAAATTTGCAGGGGTTACCCAGGGCAACCAGCTCACCAATGCGTCAATCTTTTTGAAGCTGGATGTTTTCAAATCCCAAACATGACTCGCCTTTTGTGGGTGTATTGATACCCCATTTGACCCTCATTGGTTGATGCCAGCCAGCAGTGCTGGGGATCACAGAAGGTTTTCAATGGGCACCGCTCACATGGGCATTGATGTGGACCCCCACCATCTGTAGATCATTTTCTTAGGGAAAGCATGGCTTTTCCACATCGAACTGTTAGTGGCAATTTTTAGCTCCCCATGGCTTGAAATTCTCAATGAACAGCATAGATTCTTGTGGTAAAGCCAAAAATGAACCATCCCCAATCACAAAATGGCTGGTAGAAACTAGAAACCATTCCCAAAATTTTACGGTCTATGTTGAGTTTACCACATCCATTCTTTGGTTTGCAGACGGATTCAAATTTCAGTTTTGATATGCCCATGACATCGAGATGCCAGCATTGCTGCCAGATTTTTGCCGAGGCAACGCTGTATTTCCCTTTGCAAACTCAAGGTGCAGCTGCCATCTCACCAGTGGTCAGTACCTATGGGGGCCACAGATTTTGGGTACCAAAATATTGGTTGATACAGGACGTGGTCAGAAGCACCTCTACTTATACAGTAAGTACAAACTGCGTTAATGCTAGAACTCAAAGTGGTCCAAATTCTTCAACAAAAACCAGGCTGGTGAAATTTGGCAAATTAATATACTCATCACCATCACTCTAGTCACTATATACTTTGCCCAGATTTCTGGGCAGGTGGTTTCATCCTGTATTTCATTGGGCGGCATATCACCTCAGAAGCTGGAAACTCTGCTGTGCCTCCCCGGCATTCCCAAGTTCCTTCTGCACGCTGTGAGAGTGCAGTTTTTTTACAGTGGATTTCTGGATTTTTAGTGGGAACACGTTTCATTCATGGAGTAAAACCCGAATGACGTAGTGGGGCATACGAACAAATTGCTCAGTTACTAAGCTGAATTTTGGTATCATCAGGTAAAAGCAATGAGAATGATACCTCCATCACTGCCGTTGGTTCTGTGCCCATTTGGGCACGGGTCAATGTCCCTTTTGGTCGTTGGTGATACCGGTGATACCAATTGGTTTCAGAATCTATTGGATACCAATTGGATCTAGTGGATCTTTATCCATGGAATCTTGGGTGATATCAATTGGTTTCTAGATCTCTATCAACGAAACAGCAGGTTTCGACGATTAGAATGTTTGATATTCTTTTTAACCAATTGAGCAGCGTTCAAAACCCCTGTTGGTTGATGCTTATAGGGGGTTATCACCAATGAATCCCGTTCTTAACCAGCCAGTATTTCATGGAATGATGCTGTGGGTTTTGAAGGCTGCTAAGTTTTATTCTGACCCGTATCTGTAGAACATGATCTACTGTTGGGCTTTAATCTACTACTGTGTATGGGTCAAATAATTGGGATCTGGATATTTTCTATGATCTGATCTACCCTCTGGTTATTTAACATAGCCATGGAAAATCACCATTTTCAATAGGTAAACCATCTATAAATGGGCCATTTCCCATGGCTATGTTAAATAGCCAGAGGGTACTGTTTGGATATTTTTCTTTTTGGGGATAGATTTGTTGGGGGCCCTGAACAAACCTGCTGATTTCTCTGCAGGTGCCGCAGAGGCACAGCATGGCGTAGCCGGAGAGGGCCGTGTTGGTTTCAGGAGCATTTTTTTGGCGAAACCAAGACGAGCAAAAACATAATATGAAAAGTTGAACTGCCTGATTATGCCTGATTTCTCTATTTTATTGGATGGTGATTTCGCATAGACTTATCCATCTTTTTGCGGAAGTCTGGGTGAAACCACATGAATGCTGAGATGCGAATGTTTGGGAAGCAACTTTGGCTCTTTTTGTCGCTCAAGCTTTACCATCAAGTCTTTGTAACTTGGATAGGAGCATTTCAACTCCATGTCAGTTACTGGAGGGTACAGAGAAGTGATCGCAAGTGTTTTTTTCAACTACATCAGATTTTAACCCCGCAAAAATTGTGGTACTCCATTGATCATCGCATGGATTGATGGTGAAAAAGTTAGGAACCCTTCCAGCAATCTGCTTCCGCAGGTGAAACCGTTCAGCCAGGGAGAGCTGCGCTGCTGAAACTCTGGGCTGATCGAGATGTCCGCCGATAACCAGGCCCTGCTAAGGGGATCAAGAATGGTGGATTGATCCGTTAAACAACAGGGCATGGGATATCAATCGGATATCTGGCTGCCTACTGGTTGGTGGTTTGGAACATGTTTAATAATTTTCTCCCAAGAGTTGGGATATTTGGGATGATGATCCATTTCGAATATCTGGCTTTAAGAATTTCTTTGGTTGTTTCGTGAGGTTTCAGAACTTCACCCGGCGTCGCACCAGTCTACATCCATGCCGCTTGCTTCAGAATCAACGGAGGATCTCTTTTTTCTGATGGGGAAGATATG